AAAATGCACACAGACAACACTAATCCGGCACAGGTTCAGAATTTGGCAATGTGTCATCGATTCTGCATTGAGTGCACTTTCACACAGTCAGCATCCTAAAAATAGCCGAGGGACTTTGGCTCGCTGCCCAGACTCCTTAACTGTCAATAAGTTATCTTCTCTTCCTTTAAAACCTACAGAACCACAACCGTTAACTGCTCTGGCTCACAAACACCCACGAGTCAATTGTACATTACTTTGGTATGGACTGCCTTAAGTATGGACTGATAGAACTTAGTCGATTTTTCTGTGTCTTTACGCTCACGGCAGATAATGAGCTGGAGTATCTACTGGGACTCTATATCTGTTTTTCATTTCCTCTTTGATGTCAAAGTACCAGACGATATGAGAACAGCATAGCTCTGCTGTTTGTTTGCATTGTACATTGTTTTGTCTCCTCTCCAAGTTTAGTCTCAGTTTCCTGTTTCTTTATCTTCTCTGGTTTACAATTCATCCCTATCAATGCCACATCTTCCTCTGCCTCGCTGGTTCCAGTATGACTTCAACTCCCTCGGCTTTGATGACAGTGACAGATAAAAATAAAATAAAACTTCTAGTATTGCTGTGCTTTTCCAAATCTAAGGAATGTATCTTTTTCAAAGTTCAGTTGAAGGTGAGTTTTGATGCAAAGCTGTGAAAACTGAACTATGAAACAGCATGAATTAAATGCAACATGGATAATAGTCCTGCCATATTTAATGCTTCCAGACACAACTGTTCTTTAAAGAGTGACGAAATGAAATGTTTCATTACAAAAAATGTTTGCAGTTTGAAGCCCAAAAAAACAAGGAACAAATCCTGTTGTATGTTTCAGACTAAAACTTTAGTAAGATTGGATCAATAATAGATCTGAAGTCTTTCACATATTCAATTGGCCAAATAAGATAAATTATTCAAGTGTAGAATATCACTCAGTCTCTTAAAACTTGAGAAGCTGAGGGCATGTACAAGAGTCTGGAGCGTTAAGGGTTACTGTAATAAAGCCAGGAAAGGAGGGGAAGGATGGAATGCAAGGGGTTAACTGGGGTGAGAGGGTCAGAAGTTGAAGCTGGGAAGGTTTTCCCCAGCCAGGCCTTCCATTGACACAAGGCCGTGTGCCACACAGTCCCCAGGAACAGATGTACCCACAGCCAGGGTTAGAAACACCTCCCTCCCTGTGGTGTCCCTGATACGGGTAAACACAGCTCCTGAAGCATGTAGGAAGGTACCAAACAGACATAGACAATCTGCGACAGGGTGGGTGCTAAGCTGAAAGCAGACATATCCACTAATTATTCATCAGTTTCACTCTCTTCATCATCATTTTATTCTATTTCCCTTACAGAAAGCATCTCTGTCATAAACAATCCACATGCACAGCTGGATATTTCACAGTGGGGACTTTAGGTCAAGTGGTGCAGTAGTTAAAGGCCTCCGCAGCAGCCCTATCCCATTACATGGGCCAACAGCCGTCAAACAGCAGTCCTCTGTTCACAAAACCCCGAAGCCTAAATCTCTGCTGGACCTAAACACACTGGGCTGATGATAGAGGGGGGAGGTGGCACGGCAGGATAAGGGTGAAGTTCAATGCTGGACGCAGTGGGGAGGAAATCCTGTCTGAGTCAAAGGTGAGGGGTCACTGGGGGTCAGTTCCCATCTTAAATCCTAAGTTTGGGGCTGCCGGATAAACTCTATGGACCAGATATCTGAAGAGAAACAGCAACTATCTGTTGAACAGGCGCAGAGCTTCTTAGTCAATAACTTCGATATGTGCCTGCTCAGTTTCAAACCCAACTTCAATTGCAGAAGTCCCACAGTATTCCTTAAAACGTATCAAAGGATTTCCCACAAAGGGAAAGCTCAGAGGAAAACATAACATACAGCCACCACACTGTAAACCATGCAGGGAGCTCCCTGGCAGACAAGATTTCACAGCCCCTTCTGTTGACAATCAATCTGGTTCCCCAACATAAAAGTCTGGCTGCGATGCGGGCTACAGTGAAACAGGATCCTGCAGACACAAACTCAAAGATGGAAGAGAGAGAGAGAGAGTTACAGAGGGAGAGGAAGAGAGGAGGGAGAATGGAGTGGAACAGTGCACTGCTCATGCCTCTGCTCTGTCTCTGATCAACTTGACATGTGCGACTTGTGTCTACTCCATGTCTCTGTTGGAAACCCCGCACACCAATTTCAACAAACACTGTTGTGTGGAGTGGGAGGCAGGAAGGGGGTGGGGACCTGCTAGAAGTTAAAAAGTAGAGGGTGAAGGACAAAGTTTTATTCACTCCACAATAAAGATAAGTTGTATCAAAAGGAAATGAGCAATGCCAACTGAAATGCAAAAACAAATCACACATTTAATAGCTTAATCACACGCAGCATAAATACCCCTTCATTATATAAACCTTCAGTTCAATTCTTTTCCAGCACATTCAAACTTCCCTCTCCTCTGGCTCAAGGCTAGCCAGGCCGGCTGGTGTTCATACTGGGAGCCCGACCAAATCATATGCCCTTCTTCTGATCTTGCGCGTCAACCCGACACACTGTATCAGGTTATCTTGCGTGCATCCAAATGTGTGTGTGTGTGTGCACCTCTGTGTTCATGGAGAATCATGTGTCATCTCCTGGAAAGAGCTAGGGTAAGAGGACAACAGCGGAGGGGGCAGAGGAAGATAGGACCGGGGAATGGAAGACTTAAGAGATTGTAAGAGAAACTATAGGCTCATGCGATGTCCTTTTTTCTTGCTGATTCTTTGTCTCTAAATAAAAAAAAAAGGTAACAACTTCTTCTGCTGTTTGAGAGTTATCCAGATACATTTCTGCTTTTTGTACTGACTTCAGCTCTCTAAGGATTCATATGGGGGAGGGCTTTTCTCGTTTTACTTTTCTTTTTCTTTTTTTTTTTACTTCAGCTAGCGTAGGCAGGGGGAGTGAGCTCTAAAAATAAAACACATGTTCCTCCAGGTCTGTGGGATGGAGGGGCCTCCGGCATATTGTTTTGGGATATGGGGGAGGACAGGGAGGATCTGGCTTAGAGATACTGAAGAGGCTACAGACGGAGATAGAGGCTGTTGTACTTTGAAGACAGGAGGGAATACTCTGTCTTGCATACATGTATGTGCATTTACATTGTAAAAGAAAGATAAAGTGAACCTTGTTTAGTTATACAAGTAGACATCACTGCTTTCCAGTTACCACCGAGGGTTCAAATGTGGGGCATTTTGTTTGTGTGTGTCTTGAACTGATCTGTGTGTAAGACTGGGTGAGGGGTGGTCAGGATTACTGTATATAATGGTGAGCTGAAAAGGTGCATCCATGAGCCTTTTATTGCAAAGCCTTCAGGGAATTACTAAGGGCAAGGGATAAAAGTATGAGCGGCAGTGTGCATAGTGAAAGTGTGCATTGTGTAAGTGTGCATTGTGTGATCTCTGAGTCAAAGGAGTGTATCCATCAAACTAAAGTGGGCATACCAGCAGCCAATAGAGCTTTTCTTGGTGAGGAATGGGTTAAAGCTAACTGACTGAGATGTGTGGGGGAAGTTTGCACAAAGTAGAGAAGGGGAAATGAAGGGATATTAAGGGAGAAATAAGCACGAGTACAGAGAGGGTTGGATTTATCACGTGTCTGGATTTAGCACCAGTCCTCCTATACCTCCTACTGCTGTATCTTTGTAGACTGTTCAGCAAAGTGGAAGAGAAAGAGTGGGGGAGGTGGCTAAATATGTGTGTGTGTGTGTGTGTGTGTGTGTGTGTGTGTGCATGAAAAGAAAGAGACAGAGAGTAAAGAAAGAGAAATAATAAGATATTTACACAAAAAAAACAACTGTAACCAAATACATAGCGTAATTAGTGGTATCATGACCCTTTATAATCTAAATGGCCCTTCAAATAAAGCCAGACCGTTATGGTCTTAAAGTCACTCACTTATGTAGACTGCTTTAAAAAAATAAATGCATAAATCAAAGCCAACTCACTGCATTGATGAGCCATGAAATATTTATAGATACTCAGTGGAGGACAGTCACTTGATTATTAAGTCCTGCAGGTACACAGCATAAGGAAACTTATCAATTGCAACATTCAACTACATTTATTTAATAGCCTTAGTAAGGGATTCAATTACTGTAAAGTTAAAAATGTGCACATACTGTACATAAAGGTATACTTAACTGTTAACACACTAGTAAAAAGACCTAATAGAGCAGGTCACATAAATAACATTGTATGGGGGGGGGCATTCTGCAAAATGTGAAGTCTGTTTTGCACACTTTGAGACTTCCTGTCTTTTACTTTGGCCTACATATTTTTTTTTTTGAATGCAGGACTAGTTTAATGAGCTTATACGTCATACTTTTTTACTTCAAAAGATTACCTGAGTACTTCTACTATCCCTGATTTAATTTTAAGTAACGATTGCCCTTTAAGTTAGGCCCTTCAATAAACTGTTTTTGTATAACATTGAGAGAGTCCTCATATACTTTATATAGTATAAGTTTATAAAATGTCAAGAATTAATGTCAAGTGTATACTATTCAGATGTGTAATTTTCATATCCATACTTATCTTTTAATAATAACGTGACATCATGATAAGAGTAGAGTATAAGAAAATGTAAAAAAAATAATATGCAATGAAATGGGTCCACTGAGCCTAGCAGACTCACCACACTGTGCAGAACACTTACAGCCCCCTACAGATCTCCCAGCATGATAAAGAAATATACTCCTTACTTGTGATTAGGCCCACTACTGCAGACAGTCAGTTCAGTGAGTAGGCCATCGCGGTGTTTGGGATTACTTGATCACTATCATCTACGCTACAGGATGTACGGTGCTTTGTCAGCAGCGTGAAAGATACTGGCGCGTCACTTCGGGGAGTGTCTGTGTTCAGCCAATCAAACTGCAGTCTTCAGCTCAGTGGGCGGAGCCGCTCCTCCCACACTCCCCTGTCCCAGCTGCAGCACGCTTTTGTTCAAAACTCAGAAGTCAGACAGTGTACGCTTGACAGAGGTGCACGCCGATGTTACTCACCGAATGTGTTTCTGAATCGCTGACACCAACAGCGTCGCTTTATCTCCCCCCTCATCTCCATTTCTTTTTAGCCCAATGATCCAGTTTTTGGGAAACTAAAGGTTAGTTGTTGTTTTTTTTTTCCGGTGCGCTTCGATCGTGTGACGTTGTTCAAACAGGGACAGCAAAGGTTTTGGCGAGCACGGCAACTGGAGTCCTGGAAGAGGGGAGGATTTTCCAAGAACCGGTTTCCCTGTCGGTTTGGTTGGAGTTTGACTGCTGTCATGTACAGTTAGTTGACAATTTACATGTTCAAGGGAAAGGGGAGAGTGAGCTTATGCTTCCTTTCATCCTTCTCGCCGGACATCTATGGAGAGGGGGTCCTGTATGCTCTCACGCAGCTACTTGGAGTTACTTGGGGCCGACGCAGCACCGATAGTGTTGATTTTACCGACCTGGATAGCAGAAGACGACACACATAACCTCATTTGAATGCCTTTGCAAGGAGTCTGCTGGTTTCTGTGCTGCAGGCAGGGCTTCAGTTTGCTCGGACGGGACTATGGGGAGAAAGAGGAGGAAGAGTCTTTTGAATTGCGCAACAAGGAGGACTTGACTCCCAATGGACGGGTATAAACTCTCCACCTGCACTACACATCAACTCACGTGCATGACATACCTACTACACACTTTTTTTTTTAAAGTACATTAGAAATACTGAAGTGTCCTGAACATTTCATAATGGAAGGTCATTTTCAAGGGAACAATTTCACAATTTGTTAGAGTAAAGGAATAGTAGAAAAAGAGGTGGTTCCAGCAGTTTTTATGAAATGATTACTATTGAAAAGTCAATGTGGATTGAAATTTTAAAGTCTACTCAGAAATGCAAAATCGTGTTCAAACGATTGGCTCATATTTTTTTTGAAGTATAGCAAATGACAGTGTTCTCATGTTGGCAGCTTGTCTGTGGTAATCAATGCCACCTTCTTAAACTGATGAAGTGCACTGGATTCACTGCTGCTGCCCAGTTTTTCACATTCATTGATGATTGCATGATCTTGGAGACTTGGACACCCCCCCCCCCCACACACACACACACACACACACACACACACACACACACACACCCACTCTGGTTCAAGCTGAAAAGCCAGTGTTTTGAACTGATCCTGTGTGTGTGGCCAACGTCCGTTCCATTGCAAATAAGACTGTGGCCTTGTCTTCTCTGTAATGTTAGTCATCTGATCAGGCACAGAGAGTTCAGCATTGTCCACCCACTTGTGAGAGGGGGCATTGTTGCCTTGTATTGAAGTAGGCTCTATCTGTATGACCCAGCTTAAAACTCTTTTCATGTACAGTCTCTGAGAAAAAAATTCCCCTTAAATATTTAATGGAACTGCCCGCCTTTCCTCACGTCGTGCTTCCTTTTTCAGAAAAAGAGTGTACTCTTAGTTTCAACCTTTTGTGTTTGCTCATTTGCCATTATCACCAAATAATGGTGCAGAGACACTCTCTAACTGCATTACTTTGTGGATCAGAGTAATACCACCTTAAGCCTCTTCTTGTATTGCCTGCCTATCTATGTATTGGCCCTTTTGTCTGCTTGCAACCAACCAGTGCAGCGCCGCAGCGATTTGCATGAAAACGTTGAGCAGATAAGTTTTACACAGTTATTGCCTCAACAGACGTCTGACAGCACCAGCCTGCAGATAAGAGCAACATCTGTTGCTGCACCGTATCCAGAGAGGTGTTGGTGTGTGTGTGTGTGTGTGTGTGTGTTGTGTGTGTGTGTGTGTGTGTGTGTGTGTGTGTAGCACTCTTCTTCTTGGCTAACATCACGTTCATGCTCATAATGTACCATCTGGCCGGCCAGTGGTGGTCAAAGGAACCAGAGTGTGCTCCATATTCATGATCAATACAAGATCGCAGTAACATGTCCCAGTGGAGGCGCCTGATGCCATCTGAAAGTGATACTCGGGGATCTACTTTTCCAGTAACTTTCCCTGCATCACTTTAGTGCAACCAAAGCTCCATCTGCAGAGTTGTGCTCCTGGTGACTTTTAGGTTTATCACTCATGAATGAAATTGTAGTTCGGTGGTTTGGAAGAATACAAGGCTTTATGAGATAATAAAACATGTTCAAGAATTAGTTTCTTCCATACTTTTAGATGATCCTGTTGCATGTCTTGGTAGTATTAATTTGTTGCCAATACATTTAATGAATGTGAGCATATGTGACTTGTATTTGGCCAAAGAAACAAGAATGTAATCTCTGTGATATTATTTCTATATCATCTGGTTTGGCCTTAGTATATTGGATTACTTCTTAATGGAGGAAAACAGTTAAATGGCTGAAACTCAAAAAGCAGGAAACTCCTTTTGTTGGACTTAACTTGTCTTATTTTTCCTTTGATGAAGTCACCCAAGTGTTCTAACGTCATTGATTATTGGTTTCCTAATGCTTGCAGGTAATCAATCCACTCCCGCAAATCCTGTTTCCTCTCTGCCTGTGACATTGACTGATGCTGTGTATTGTTACTTAATAATTTGGACCACAGCTGAACCACTTTAAGCCAGTGTCATCAGCTGATCCACTCTTAGGCAGGACAGGCCGTTTTGCTCCCCAGAGCCCCTCCCCTTTTAAATATATGCATCTAACTGGTACTGTTTGGCTTACAATTGTGTCAACAGAGGGGGTGGGGAAGAGGCCTGAAGATGGTCTAATATGATTCCAAAGGAAAATCCCTCAGGGCTTCGTTCCATCGTTTACCCAGTGAGCTCCGAGCCGTATTTTCAGACAGCTGGTCAGACCTCCCTGGGAGTGTGTGTGTTTTTTGGGCTTCAAAATACTGAAATACTGCATTTAGCAGGCCTCTTGTCAAGCTCCTGCCAGGGATGAAACCCACAGGGCTGGAGGAGTCTCCCCTGCCCAAGACATCCAAAGCCTTCACACCCGTGATCTCCTGCGTCGCTTTCTAACATGCTGCCAGAGGATGCCGCCCATGTGTAACATCCGCAGCACCAAAGCCATAGGCGACGCACTGTTCCCCTCTTCTCACTCAGGTTGGAATCATGAGTCAGCGCTGACGCTTGTGTAGACTTGGCCCCCGAAGAGCCCGGGCCCATGTCAGATCCTTCCCTGCATGTTTACAGTCCTCGGTCAAAGAAACTGCTCTCCAGCAGCTGCCCAAACAGTCACACAGAGCTTAATGACTCCAGTGTTGGGACAGAAGGCACTCATTTCAGGACAGGACAGCCGTCACTCTCTCTCTCTCTCTCCATGTTTCTACTGAAACTTTTTTTTCTCCAAGTTTTTATGGAGTCACGTTTACCAATAAATGATCACCACGGAGTGTAAAGGCCTGCGCAGTTGTAAGTGCGGGCTAGCGGACCACAGTACATCCCGTTTCATGGAACAAATGGGCACAGTCTGACCGGACTCGGAGCAGGTCCCATTAACCTTCACTACTGCCCTCTGTCTTCAGAGGTGTCACGGTACACTGGTTTATATTTGGTTTCCGTTGCGTCTCTGCCTCACCACCTCCAGGCCACACATCTGGTCTTCAGGCCGACATTGGTTGAGCCCAAGCATTTCCTCCTGGTTACTCAGCCTCCCAGGAGAGATGGAGAGAGAGAGAGAGAGAGAGAGAGAGTAGACGGAGGGGGGAGCGGGAGCGGAAGTCAGCCACGGAACGAACACATCACTGCATGGTTCCCTCGATGCTCTGCTCTAGTCTGAAGTGATTCATCCCCTGCCCGTCCAACAGGAGAGCGTTTGCCAGCTCTGCATTGCACGCTATCCTTGTTCCTCATCCCACAGCCCATTAACTCTATTGAAAAAGCTATAATTCTGTCGTGGGTCACGTATTGTGAAGAATTACTCGAAACACTTTTACATGACCAACCTCTCCCATTAGTTTATTGATTCTCTGATTAGTTTTATATAACAGAATTAGAGATTTGATGATTAGTGATTTGTCATGTTCAGAGCATGCTGTGAGTCTGAATTCTCTTCTTTCGGACTGCTGCTCTGTTGAAGTCATTTGTGGTTTACAGACAGGTGGAGGTAATTACTCAACACTTTTTGACACTATTTGACAGTACCTCTCATACGTTAAATATGAACCAAATCTCATTATCCAAACACTCATCTTTTCCTAATTCCCTTAGAGCCCATCTGTCTTATACATTTGACGCAGACTCCAGACTGTAGTTTATGAATCGGTATGTTTTCTTTGTTATTTTAAGCCCTCCAAAAAGAAGCAGTTTGCTTTCTTTTGCCGTGCAGAGGCTATACTTAGGCTGGTTTGCCCAGTAGTGAAGTGTTGTGTGTGTGAACTGCGAGGGGCCCAGAACTGACCTGGATAGTGTTTCAGGTATAGGCCAACACCCCTGTGCTGTGCCAGGGCGGCCACGAGAGCTGGCTCAAGGCTGTGGCTTACAGAGACAACAAGTTTGGCCACTGGGACACTCAGTGCATGCCCTGCACACCAGGGAATCAGTCTAAATGTGCACATGCCAGCTCTGCTGTTTGATGGGGGGGGGGGTTCCAAGGTCAGGTTGAGTGAATCCAGGGATTTTAGCACTGAGAAAGGAAACATCCTTTCCCATCTTCTTCTTAACGGGGGGAGTCCAGGAATGAAAAGTTCATTGTTTCAACCATGAAATCTGATTTTATACGTCTGCCAGTGGCAGCCCTGTTTATTGTCAGTAGAGGCACTAACCCCAGTTTCCATACAAAACTGACATCCAAGAAATGGGGAATGTGAATTTAAAATGAAAAGATGGCATGCAATCTAGATAACTAATCTAAAATTTAACAAGTAATCTGTTCAAGATTTGTGACTGTATTCACCAGATGATCAACCTTAGTACACATTTACATATTTACTCTTTTTTTGGTTTGATTATTATTCCTTTGCCATGTGTCTTATTGTCTTTCTATGTTGAATTTTATCCGGATATCTTTATCCACCATCCTGTGACTCTATAAAAAAAAAAAAAAAAAAGTGGATAGAAAACATGAAGGCATTTCTCTCACAGATCAGGGTTACTCTTAGGTTAACAACCTTCTCAGAGAAACGACTGATCTCAATATAGGCATCCCTAGGTTTTCTGGTCAGGGTGCACGCAGCCATTGCACAAAAGATTCCTCTGTTCCCCACTCCTATATTAAATGAGCTTGTTTTGCATGCCATATTTCTCTCCACCAGCTCAACCCTTGCAAGTGAAAGCCAGGCATTACAGGAACAGAGCAGCTATGTGCTGGGGCTGCCAGGGGCGGGCTGCATGCTCCACTGTAACATGGCCACTGAAGGCAAACTGTTGAGGGATTACTCCAACCTGTGGACCAGTTTTAAGGACAGGCTACTGTTTGTGTTCCATTATCATCTATTTACACTATTCTCTCTCTTCTGTTGACAGAGTCCAGCTGAGGTGACTGTTTCTCAACCGACTCGCACAGCCAACGGAACAAACGGGTAAGAAGAGAAGGAGAAACTGATTTTATTTAAGACCTTAATTAGAGGAAGTAATAGTTCCTTGTATTTTCTCACATAGTTCCCCTCAGTGCCGGGCATTTCTGCATTAATACTCAAGCAGGCAAACAGGCCAGTCACTTGATTTTAACTTCATTTCCACTGTATTCGGTGTCATGGGGCTTTTCTCATGTGCTTTTGCCATGATACACGTTCCTAACCTCATATGCTGCACTCATGCTCACATGGGCATAACGACAGGCATGATGGACTCACATGTAAATTGACACAGATGACCTGACATTTCCCAGCTGCAGCAGCGCATTGACTGCTTATGGATTATACTGCTGCCAATTTCTAACCGTTAACCTCTTGACTGAGTTGTGTCATTCAAAGGTTGGCTATGAGGCACATAAGCCAATAATATGTTAATCTAAAGCAGACAACATGGTGATCTACATTATAGATATATACTGTTTTGGTTCATATGAACAGCTACATTGTCAGATTAACTTTATCCAGCTTCATATCCACCGTAATATGTGTGTTTTTATTCTATCAAGTCTGAATATCAGCAGGGTTCACTTTTTGAAAGCGCAGATCAATGGTTTACATGTCTGGTCTCCACTACCCAGCTTCTGTAAAACAACCATAATGTCAGCTTAACTCTATCAAGATTCTGAATGAACAAATCCCAGAAATTGTGCTAGTTTCAACTCTTCACACCCTGTATTTTAGGTTATGTGAAACCTCCATTTGCCTCACCAATAATGCAACTCAAATCCTCATGTGGTTGACAAGTGAATGTGAGTTCCAGTGAAAAGGAGTAAATCACAGACAGCCTGATCCCAACTATTAGTGCTGGGCTGTGATCTCAGACAGTGATGCAGCCATGGCTCTGCTCTCTGTTTGGTCTCGGGCATTTTTAGGCCATCTCTACTGTGCATCTGCCGTCTCGCTGGCAATCGGTCAACACAGATCAACTCGTAGGATCGCGCACCTCGGATGAATAGATGAGGGTCTGCAACAGTTCTCAACAAGACAAGAGTTGCCCCAGGGAGTTGCCGGGGGAGCGGATGTTGAGACATTTTGCTGCAGTCATACAGGACATGTTAACTCCTGAGTGAAGGAAGGAGGAAGTAAAGACGTGAGGACAGAGAGCCTGGCTAACTGGACTGAGTGACTCAGTTCTACCTTTGCAGCACTCCCAGAAGAGGTGTGGCACAGACGTGTGTGTGTGTTTGTGTGTGTTTGTGTGTATGTGTGCGTATGTGTGTGTGCGCACTTGTCCCTTCCACAGTATTGTGGAGGTGTCCTCAGGCCACATGGCGTAATTAACTACTGGTTTTGAAGGGAGTGTGTTAAGAGCCTGGCTGTAATCATCACACTGAATGTAGAGATTAGAGAGCGTTGTGCTTGGTTATTACCTGGCTGATGACCGAACACGCCCAAAAGTTCAGCGAGAGGGGAGCCAAGCCAGGCTCTGATAAGTCTGGGCAATGTGATGTAAAAAAAAAAATAATTGTGTCAAAGCAATACATCATCAGTCTGGGATAATAGGCAGGACAGCTCTGTCATTTATGGATCTATTGAATTGGACTCTATAGAAGGATATCTTTTTTCAACTATTGGTTGGAATGTTGCTCTAGATGTGGAGAGGTTATGAAAAAAGGGGTTGGGGGAGGGAGAAAGGCCCATAACTATAAAACAGGAGGGATAGCTTTAATAATAATCAATAGTATGATTCAAAAAGTTTGCCATCATGATGTATTGGACATTTTTATGCCTCACAGGATGTGATATCACAGGAATCACTGCAGGGCATGTACACAGTTAGGCAATAATAAACGGGAGGGAGTGATGATGCACTGAATATCAGCACTACTTTGATTCAGTCATTGACAATGGTCACAGCTGTGCTTATCTTCATCACAAAATCTCAACTTCCAGTGTGATATTGCTTTGATACAACAGCTCTACAGGCAGCGTGTGGTATTAAAAAGTAACACCTTTTAAGCAGACAGTTATTGTTTCCTGAATCATTTAGTTGGCTCAACCAACACAACTGGTTTAGGAACTGGAACTTGACTCTAACCAAGAACGACTTAGACATATTTCCTGTACTGTGGCTACTTAGTGTGTAAGTGTACATGCAACTTTGGATTTCGTACATTCATCTGTTGACAGCTGCTTCTGTGGTCCGTGTGATTCGGAGGGAAATAAACCTTCTGCATAGATGTTGCAGAGCGTTGCAGGACGCATAAAGACAGAGTGATGCGCAAAGTGAGAAGTCCCGGTGATGTTGTGACCTGTCCAATCAGATTGGTTGGTCAGAACTCTATAATAAATGTCTTTGTCGCCAGTATTTTTGTTCTTGTAAACTAATATCAGAAATACTTATTTAAGGATTATGCTATCAATTAAAAAATGTGCCTTTATTTTATTATATACCTTTATATTTATTTATTTCCTCTGTAACTCAATCTGCTCTGATGTATATGTACTTTAGGGACTGATCTTGAGGAGCTTGGAGCTTTAAGTTTTAATGGAACATTATTCGTTTTTTCTATTGTTAGGAGCCCTGTAATAGATTTGTCATTTGTTTGCACTGCTCTCCGTGAGCGTGCCAGTTCACTGAGGATTTGGCTGATGAGCATTATCTCTGCAGAAGGACACAGCGATGTCTCCCCATCTCTGTCACTGTCAGCACAAAGTGCCAAGCAGCTTGCTCCCTCCTGCTGTGATCTCACTCAAATCTGTCTTACATCATCGCTATTTTTTTTTTTTTCACCCCCACTTTCCAGAATCTTAAATTCCTTCTCATGGGTCGGCCAGAGCGGAGAACAAACTGTACAAGAAGGAAAGTGGACACTCGAGAGCTGCTCCAACTCCTTCCCTCACTATTATTTCCGTCAGATTTCTCTTCAGCACCACCCCCCCCACCCCCCCCCCTTCTTCTTTAACAGCTTTTGACAGACAAAACCTTGACTTTTGTGGGGGGGGGGGGTTTCTGGTGTGGGCTGCCACGCTGAAAGGGGCCAGTGTTTCTGAGATTATTTCATGTGTGTGAATTATGTGTATGCAAGAGAAAAGTGTGTATATGCATGAAATATGTGGGTGTTTGCTTAAAAAGTAGGCCCCATGATAATTGCCTGTCTGTCAGCCATATGTCCATCCCAAGCTGGTTCTGTTTTACGACATCAGCAAATACAAAGAAATGAAAACCGCAGCACAAAGATTGATCATAACAGTAACTTCATTTCCAATCCAAAAGTCACTTACTCTCCATCATAAAAGTACTAACTGATCAACCATCACTCTCTTTCAGTCACAAACTCAGACTTCCTGTTACACACACACACACACACACACACACACACCCACACCCCTACCCCCTCCTTTCTCAAAACATGATTTTTTTTCCCCCCTCCTTCCCTGGCCTAGTCCAGAGTTTCTTGGCAGTGGTCTTAAGTAAACAGCGTATTTTTAGCTGGGAGGTCATATTGGCCCAGTCTTAATCACCACATTCCCATTTTCCCACCAGCCCAGCTTCAGCCAGAGGCCCATGATGCACTGTGGGGGAGGGGATTGAGACTAAATGGAGAGAAATGTATTCCTACAAAGAGGAGCTGATTATTTAGTGCTCCAGTATTACCCTCTACATTTTAATGAAGGTTGTCTTAGATGGTGTTTTTTTTTTTTTTTAATCCTCAGCAGTTTAATGAGCTGTGTGACTTGATGTATGGCCATCACTTGTAAACACAACATGATCCATAAACATCCAACAAAAGGCTGCAGCTTTGAGGTCGTTTGTTTGATCGTCTGTTCGGTCTGAAAAAAAGAGAAAAAGAAAATCTGATTACTGTAAAACATTTAAACAAAGGTCTTTTTTTTTTTTTTTTTTTTTTTTTTTTGAAAGCATGTATATAGTTGTGGTGACAAGGCCCTGCTTTGTATGCTGGGACATGTCCCCACTGTTTCCACTGCGGTCACCGAAGCCCGACAGCAAGGGCGCTACTTCTCTAACTTTAATTAGCGTCTCGCCATTTGATTTCACCATGGACTAAAAATCAATTACTCATCGCTCAGGCAGCTCCCACCAAATGCATTGTCGCAAACTAATGGACAGTCTGTGCAGCTCGTATGTGTTTTATTTTAAGAGTCCTTATCGTCACAGCCATGAAGGGACTCCAGACAATATGATGCAAATCACTTATGATGACCTTATTTCATCGTCATCTGCTTCTCAAAACAGGGATATATGCATCCAACTTATATATTCATTCATAGTGCTGCATTTACATAATGTCAGTAGAGCTGTAAAGACCATTTATTTTGACTTGGCCTATAGTTTAAATACGTAAACCAGGTACAAAAAAGCTCCGTAAAGCTTATTTTAAATAGATGACTTGAGAGCATATAGCAAAGCCACAAGTATTAGTATTATTCTTAAAGATTTTCCTTTGGGCTTTTGGGCCTTTTATTCGATAGGACAGAAGTAGAGAGAGAGAGGGAAGGTTGGTAGAGCGAGCAGGGAAGACGTGCACAGCACAGCGTCAGGATCAGGAGTCGAATCTGCAACAAGTATGACGAGGACTGTAGCCTTTGTATACGGGGGCCGCCTGATTGAACTGAGATAAACTGGCACCCTGCTAGTGTTAGCTTTAATGCAATGTTTACTTGGATGCACAGTAACATCTAGCAATGACAGATTTGCTGCAATCTTGCTAATGTTCTTCTGACAAGTTCTCGGGGCAGCTGTGGCTCAGTGGGTGGGTTTGTCTGATCCCCAGCTTCTGCAGTGACCCTGGAGAGTCCCAGGGCAGGACACTGAACCCCAAATATCTCCAGTGTGAATGGATGGGTACTTCATCTAGCTGCTTCTGCCATCAGTATGTTAACGTGGTGTGAATGTAGTGGCCTACATGGCAACGCGATTTGAGTAGTTGGTACTCGGTAGACTAGACAAGTGCTATACAAGTCCAAGTCCATTAACTATTCCCTTGCATGAAGTTGGAGTTGTTATGACTTTTCAGGAATGTACTTGCCTGACTCGAAATATGTCGGCTGACAGAGACGGTTCAAATCATTGCGGCAACTTTTATTTGATCATTGGAAATTGTACCTTATACAGAAACCATAATAGTGACACTTGACGCAAAATCGTGTTTGAAATCAGGACAAAGTCAATACAGGAACGATGAGCGAGATTTATGTCAAGTTGAGCTGAGGTGTTACGTGGCATAAAAACACTCTTTAAAGATAAAATCCTCACTAGCTAACCTCGCAGCCACACATGTTTTTCCTCATGTGGCTGATTAGGCCTCTCGTCATGACTACGTGGGCGTGTGCAGACTTCTCGCCTCTCCTTTTTTTAGTTTTGTTGCACCTGTTAGGGTGGGACGATGAATACCTGTATCTCTGCTCTCAGAACGGGTATGTTGTATGCTGACGTCATTTAATCACCAGCAAACCTCCAACAACTTAGCCGAGCTTCACTTTTCATTTACATTATCCGAAGAAGAATTAGCAGTACAATTATTCAGTTTAAATCATTAAGCTGTGTGAGTCTTTGTTAAGAGTTACACGTAATGTTAAATGTTAAATAGTTTTTACATTTCTTTGAATCCTTTTTTTTTTTTTTTTTTTTTGCTGTGTTGCTCCCTCTGTCTTTATTCCAGGTAGTTAAACACTTAATGACTTGTGCTCCTGCTGAACACACAACACACAAACTACAGCACTGATGACAGTGATGGCTAGTATTTAACAGCTCATGTTATCGTCATTCACATACAGCACAATGTGTCGACACCCCCTCCCATGTTGAGATCTAGCAGTTAATTCCCTTGGCTAAGCTCACTCAACTTTGTTTTGGGAGTTTAAAGGGATGTATTTTTAGCCCAATTCACAAAGAAAAGTTCCTATCCTTTGAGATAAAAATACTTACTTTTGCGTGTGAAGTGCGTACTGAAGACAAACTATTGAATAGCAATTTATAAGATGTCCAAAATGTAGGGCTTGTTCACATGATGCCCCTTTCTCTGCAGTAGCTGATTTTGAGTCCTCAAGGTACTCTCTGTCGCTGTTCTACTCCCTCTATTCTCCGAGCTGTCTAAGTAATCTCCATGTCAAATTGTTTCCTGCCCCTCCAGGAAGTTACCCACTAAAGGCCCCACTGTCACGGCCTGTTCTGGGGCTTCTGGGTGCGGTTGCATTGGGGGGGGGGGGGGGGTTGAGGGTTGAGTGAATGTGGGGGGGTTTAAGACCTGCTGGACAGCTGTGGAGATCCAAAGACTCCACATCCCTCAACATTGCACAAACGCGAAGTGATACATTTTAGTGTTCTTTTTTTCATCAGCCATCTTTTATTTTTATTTTTTTTTAATCCATAGAATGGTGGGCAACTGAAAAAAAAGTAGAGATTAAATGATGCTATACAGATGTGACATAACACATTTAAGTTCATGTAAAACTTGTACATTGTAAAAAAAAAAAAAAAAAAAGGCTAAAAATAGTTTCTCTTGTCATGAGTAGAATTATTTCAGTGAGTTTCTTTTGCTCCATTTCTTCATGCTCTTTGGATAAGTATTGAAAAAGCAAATTCACTTCATTTTTAACTTCATGTTTTCTATGACCTGGACTGTTGAGATGGCACGGCACAGACAAGTTGGTCTGTTGTCTATTTATGTTGTTAATTTAAACCAGGCTATAGTCCTACTTCATATCTTTATATCACCCTGATAACAAGAAATAAAATGACCCCCCCCTTTTATTACTTAATGTCAGAGGTCAACTAGAGTGTCTTTAGTCTGAGACAACGTTCAACCCTGTTCAACATGTGGGCCGGTCTCATTTTACAGACAAGCGTTTTGTGGAATTTAGAGGAAGTAGGAAAGAATGAAGAAGTCTTATGAGAACCAGAAGAGTTTGTTCTCATAAAGAAACACATGTCACACTTTGTGGAGACAGCTTTACGATGTCATTGTAACAAGCTGCTTTTTCCTTAGGCTTGTTACTTTGGGACGCAATGGGTGAGGATAAATGTCAGAACCTGGGTATGGACTTCTTTTTTAATCCTCTGTCTCTTTTCCACAAGGTGTAATAAGAGCTTTGGCGTAGACCCGTAGCGTATCTCGTGTTATAAAGATGGGTGCAGATGATTATAAAATGCAGAAAAACAGATTTATGTTGGCATGGCAATGAAAAAACATCCAGGTCTATTGAAAATCTGCACAAAGAAATTGACTTTTTTTTTAATTTTGAATTCAACAGCGCACATTTATCCCAGGCATTGAACATAAACACCTTTGCTGCGCACTACAGGCTTTCCACTCCAGTCAGGGCCTCTCTTACTATGAATGTAATCCCTCTCCCGTTTGGGCAACATATAGACCCTGTCTGCGTGCACGTCTGAATTATGTAGCAGGAGTTATTAACAAGCTCAAATAAGAGACGTGGTCGCATTTCTGTGTTTATTTCGATGCCTTTAAGTGGAGTCCTTTGGATGCACAGACTGTCAGAGGTCCCATAAGAGTCAGACTGAGTATAATGTGACACCACTCTGACTCTGTCCTAAATCTGCTCGCTTGCGATGCCGTGTACCACTTCACATACACACAGGAAAGCTGGCCAACAATATAGAGTTTCACTGTGTCTGAATAATGTCTTGAATTAGAGACTGGTGGCAGTAGGCCAGATCTACGGCTGCAAATACTTTTTTTATAACGGGGAAACATTTGTATGCAGTTACGCATTGTAGTCTCTGTTTGCCAGCATTGTTATAGAGGTCAACATGATAAACAGAGTTAGAGACGGGATCAGGTCCGTGCACATGTACGCAAAGGAAATGGCTTCTGCAGTCATGTAAGCTGAGTCAAAGCAGATAAGGTATATTTAGAGTCATTGATTACTGCTGTCTTCCGTGAGGAGGAACCCTCCGGAATCATCGGATCAATAAGGACATAAATCAGCTGGCGTAGGAGTAGGTGACTAGAGGGCAAATAACCCCTGGGAGGGAGGGGTCAATTCATTTCCTGAGAAGTGATCCTGGGAGGCGGGGGGGGGGGGGGAATAGGACAGGAAGGAAGGTGTGGCTTTTTACTGATAACTCACATGGTGGTTAGACCCAGGAATGGGAGTGTTTAATGAGTAAATAGATAAAGGATTAGGAGAAATGCAACTTCTAAACAATCCAATACGCTGGAAATGGGCCTTGGTCTGAGAGGGGGGTGGAGCAAAAATGCTCAAGAGGCACTGAAGATCAGCGGGGTCAGCTGATTTACAGATGTTTTTGATGTTTCTGGTTTTAACCATCCAACGCTGTAACCTCTTGAACCTCGTGCCTCCCTCTGACTGGCAGGAGCTGGCTGGCCGAGAGTCAGGCCGGCGTCGCTCTGTCACGTTTATTTTCAGTCGCCCGCTCGGCTCGGCCCGCCAAAGTGATAAAAGAGAGATGAGCCGTCCACAGTGGTGTGGCATGTATCGGTGTGTGTGTTTGTGTGCCCGCGTGCTGCTAGGGAGGGAAAGTGGAAGAATGCTGGAGGACAGATATTCGTGGCACTTCTTCCAGTCCCCCCTGTGTGGACCCCCCCCCACTACAGAGTATCAGAGAGACTTGTAGTTGGCACAGTGTCACATGGTGTTGGGGGTTCAAAGCCAACTGGGTGCCTCTTTGGCCAATTAGCTATCCGATGGGAGGGAGTAGTCAAGGGAAGACCTGAGTTGAGAGGGAGGCCAGGTTATTTACATTCTCTTTCTGTTCCTCCACGCAGACACACTGTCCCAGAGGGCTCTGAAGAGATGAAGAGCCTGATCATTGAAAAGAATAAGATGGGCCTGGAGGAAGAGTCTGAGCTGCTGGTCAAAGGTAAGTCTGACCTGGCACAGTGCGCCACCATTACTCTGCTCGTCCTGTATTTTGAAGGCATCGACCTGCCGTGTTTGGCTTGTGGTGAACCTGTAGCTGAAACAATAAGTCGATTCACAATGTAAACTCACTCACTCAACAACAGCTAGTTTAATGAAAAAAAGTTGCTTCTCTAGGATTTATTTATGCAAAAATTGTAATATGTCTGTGGTTTGGACTGTTGGAAATACAATATTTGAAGATGTAAGATATGATTAACTTAATTGTCCCAATTGTTTTCTTTGCAATTTTGTGACTGAACCGTTTATTATGAAAACAAATATCCACATATGAAGCCTTGCCTGCAGCCCTACTTTGTCCTTCCATTTATTGGCGTGCTCTTATCAAAGCTGAGTTTGCACTGTTCGTCTTATTAATCAAGTTTTCTTACCCTTATAATAATTGTCTCCTAGTAACTAGTATCCCTGCTCCATGCTGCGCTGTCGCCCTGTAGCAGCTCCCTCTGTGACCACATGTGGCCCACAACACTCCCCCCTCTCCCCCTCCCCCTCCCCCTCCCCCCTTGTGTTCATGTTAGGATTGCTGCAGGCATCAGGGGGCGCCACCTTGGGTGTCTGCTGCTTTTGAGGAATGATCTCAGAAGTTATTTCTGTGCGATTCTTTTTTTCCTCCTGGCCTGCAACTTGCGGGGAGCAGTAAAATGCCAGCACTTGGATAAGTTGCGTCCTGTTTGGGATGGCGGCAGTCAGATTGCCTAATTCTGACAGCAGTTACTATGCACCCTTGGCTAGTGCCCCTCCCTCACTGCTGACCCCTCTCTCTCTCTCTCTGTCCATGTCTTACTGTTTGAATAAGACTGTTTCCCTCCAAAACACAGAACTGCTACTTTTTTTCCCTTCGGCTGTTGAATACACTATCACGTGGGATTTCAGCTGTGAATCACACCCCCTTACTTCAACAGACCGAACTAGAACAGCACAGAAGTAGAACACCTCGAGGCATTAGATAACCCCCTCTCATTCCTCTTTTGTTGCACAAGGATATGTTCTCCAAAGTTCTTCGATTATGGCCTTTCCCCTGGTTTGGTATTGATGTTTTTTTCATTAGCACATCCTCGGGCTATAAAGGGTTAATATTGCCCCAGTATCTGAAATAGGCCATGACATTGGAGATGAATGGACTGATGATGGGGGTTGAATTGTAAAACTCGTGGAGTTGTGGCTGAAAGACATTTAAAAATATTTTTCCATTAACATTTGAAATGGAGTACTCCTGTCATGAGGAAGAGTTACTCACACTGTGTTAAATGAGTCTAATATATAAATGTGAGGTCCAGGCCTGGTTAGAATTAGTTTTATTTAAACTGTCTCCCTCTCAAAGTGGTTTAAAAAAGAAATCCACAACTATAAAATCATGAAAATTGGCAGATCTTACCGTCTGAAGTCCTCATAATTGTTGTTGTCTTTTGATTGGCTATTTCATATGTCATTGTGAAATTTAAGAAACTGTGACGCAAACATTCAGGAAACAGGAGAGACAGGAGGCTTGCAGTAAAGAGATGGAAATGCACAGAGAGAGAGAGAGAGAGAGAGAGATTGTTTGCTCAATCTCTGTAAGAGGGGGGCAGGGCGCTGGGGGTTAGAGGTCACAAATGAAACAAATTAACGGCGAGCCGTGGCCCCCAGGGGAGACATTAGTAGGCCACGGAGATGGGATCCAGATGGGGGACAACGGGAGGGGTGCACAGGGGGTCCCAGTTGCTGCTCTTTCTCCTTCTGCCTCTCTTTTTTTTTTTTTTTTTTTTTTTTAAGTACTACTGGTTGTAGTTCCCAAAAAGAGCAGCATCTCTGGGATGTCCCATGACTGTCACAGAGGCGTCTCGGTAGCAGGAATGCCCCTCTCGCCATGTCTCTCACCCAGTCGGCTTGTCTGCGTTCCCAGTGTCCCACAACCAGTCTGTCAGCAAGATCAGTCTGATTTATCTCATGGTTTTTATTTATCCATTTCACATTTGGTTCTGATGCCGCCCCCCTGTGTTGTAGTGTTAAGTACCTTCAGTTTTTTTTTTTGCTTTAGGCTATATTGGGTGGGATTATGATGGGTTCAGGCCCGTCACTTATACCACATAGAAGCATTTTTAACAGGAAACATAGCCTGAGAGGCTGATCCTTCACCTCTGATCTTTCTTTTTTATTTTTATGTTGGAGTCGCAGTGAGGCTGTGGAAGCTTTGCGCTGCCTAAAGAAAGACACTCTAACACTAGGAGAAGACATGGGAGAGAAGATAAATGGGGGAAATAAAAGTTAATCGGATTCGGAAGAGAATAAGAGCACATTAAAGGGAAATAGATGGAGCCAAAATGAGCGCTGGCTAACAGGTGTCACCCAGCTTTCTAACCACAGAGGAAGTTGTGATGCTGATGTGGTGTCATTGCAGTTTTCACTGTGTATGAAGCTGAAGAAACATTGCCTAATTGTTCCTTTTGAAAACGCCCTTCAAATATGAACGTGCATGCCATCACGCATGTACAAATCCAACAGTTACAGAGTACAGAAGGTGTCTGGGTGGGCTTCATCAGTCCTTCTGATGAACTTTGACTCCCTATTAAGGCCCAATAATGCTCAGCAGGCGTTCTCCCTCCAGGCAGGCAGCATTTGGACGGGAATTTCACGAAATACTTTTCGAAAAATCGATATTCTTATTAGATGTTTATTTGGAACGATTTGCACATTACTCTGAAGGGGAAGAAAAAGTTTGGGCTGTAGCAGTCCCTCAGGTCTTTGGGAACACAACAGTTCTGCGTAGTAGAGCCAGGCCTGGCAAGAGCAATGAGCGTGCCTCTGAGTTGGCTAAGAGCTTGTCTAATCAGCCCTCTTTGTTTCACACTGTTCCAGTACATTTCTCTCTTTCACTCTCTCTCTCTCTCCCCTTTTCTCACTCTGTCAACCTCTAAAGTGGTAATTATCTAGGCTACACGCAGGCTTTAATGCTCGTGCCATTAGCTGGCTGTATTTTTATCTCCCTTAGTACTTACCCCGACAAGGCAGTCACATTCAGACTGCAACAAACTTTATAGACAATTACATGCTGCGGGGATTATTCTTAGCAAAGACACGGTGAAGCAGTACTGGTTTAGGATCTCATTGACGAGCCAACCTCCCACCCAGACCTTTCACGTGTAAGGTCTTAATATGATGAACTGGACACACAGGGACTTCTCTAATATCATAATAAAAGGCTTTAGTATTGGTGAGGACAAAAGCAGAACTGATTGACGACTTTCTTGTTTCTGATGACTAAAAAATATGAACGGTTATTACTCTGGAGGCTTTAGAGAATATTTATCATAGTAAGGATTAAAGAAGTGTATTGTTATCTTATAATTACCTTATACTGAGTATTGGTAAGCACACTCTCAGTGAGCATATTGGGTGGCAGTATTACGCTGGCATGCAGAGCTGTAAATAAATGGAGTTTCTTGAATACCAGCTTTGTCTTTAAAAGATCAGAAAACAATTTATTTCATAATGTCTGAATTCAAGAGCTCAATGTGACTTATTGGATGCCTTGTTTATCCAACCAAGACTACAATTTATGTTTCACTCTGAAGGAAAAGAAACAAACCAAAAAGGAAAAACAGAAGTGGGCTCTTGCAATTGATCATTTATATGCAGACTTTAGAAGTGATTTTGTTGGACTTGTCAAGTCAAATAGATGAGAGCATATTTGTATTTGTATTGTGAGTTTCCATATGACACCTTTTGTGACTTTCATTATTAAAAGGATGGCTGCTACGGGAGGTGAGAGGCAACTGGATCAAGCAGCGCCGGTACTGGTTCGTGCTGAGCCAGGACTCCCTGGACTACTACAGTGGACCAGAGAAAGGGGCCCGCAGACTGGGAACACTGGTCCTCACCAACCTCTGCTCTGTCATCTGGCCAGACAAGCAGACGTACAAGGAGACGGGTGAGGGGCACACAGACAGGGCTGATGCATCGCTGACTCACACTCATGTTCAAACAGCTATAATCTCTGTGGAATCCCGTAACTCCTTTTTGTGAATTCACTCTACGGTTTAGTGGTCAGACATTTTCAAAAAGTTCTTAGGATTTTTTTTTTTTTTTTGTCTGGGGCTTTTGATATGGAAGTGATGTTTTGTGGTCCCTTTCTTTTCCCACGAGTTTTGTAACTGTGAGTAAGTTTGGGAAGCCCCAGCTGCGTTTGTTTCAGGACAGGGCTCAAGGTAGGTCAAGCAACCTCCCGTTTTGAGTAATCAGCGCGGGCACGTCCCTCCTTTTTCTGATGAATAGAGACAAAAGAAATGCCGAATAAAGAGGTCTTTGCTATTTTGGAAGAGACAGAGGGATGACTTTACTTTTGTACACCCAAACCCACAGACAAGGTTTGTATTGACTAAATATTCCAGGGGACTTATCAGGGCAGAAGTGTGCTTTTCTTTGTCACAAGCTCTACTATCTGTTTCACTATTGTATAACTTTATGTTCCGCCTTAGCCACTGTGAAATGTGTCACATAAGAGTTGCATGAAACATGCACTTCCTCTGTTTACCAAGTCATATCTCTGGCATTATTGACCCATTACAGAAGAGGGTAACGTAATCAGGCTCAAATTGCTCAATCAATACAACAGTGTCCTAACCTCATATTTTTCGGGTTTGTACTTTACCAAGAACATTGGCAAAGAAGGTTATATGTTGCCAAGTCATACGGCAGAAGAGCCTGACGGCATAGGGCTGCAGATCAGAACAGAATGCAATGTGTAATACTTCCTCAGCGCAAGGAGGAAGTACGGCTTTTTTTCATCTTTATTGCAGGGTGACCAAAAGAAGACTCACTGAGGCGTTAAACATTTCTGTTCAAATTCATCTGTAGAACAACTGTCCTGGTTTGGTTTTGGCATGGCCTGAGGTTCCTTTCAGGCTGACCTTTGGTCCTCAGTGAAACTGAGAGAGGAAGTCAGGGAGAGGGAGTCACGCTAGATAAGCATGGTGTCCTGTGCACGGAACATTTCACTGTTGTCTTCCCCATTTATTAAAACAACGCTGTCAGAAGTGGAGCTGTGGTTTTGAATGTAATCTAAAATGTGATGTTTCTCTTTATCTTCCTCTAAGGCCACTGGAGTATCACTGTGTATGGGAGGAAGCACTGCTACAGGTTGTACACCAAGCACTTCAACGAGGCGGTGCACTGGGCATGTGCCGTCCAGAAAATCATCGATACCAAAGCACCAGTGGAAACGCCAACGCAGCTCCTGATTCGAGACATCGAGGTGGGCAACTACAAAACACACCTCAAAACATTGAGCATACATTTGAGGTTGCTCAACCGATTATGTCCCTCCCTCTGTTACCATGGAAACTATGAGGTTCTCGCTGGGCCAGGGGAGTCCAAAGATCGCTATGCTCGCCTTTTTTTATGTTTTGGATGACTTCATCGTATTCCACCACACGTGGACAGGACATAATGACAGACCTGAAGCAGAGAGGCTATTTCAAAATAAAAGTATTTCTAGAGAAGTGCTCACAGACATTGGATTAGACAGGATGCGTTTGGATTGACTTTCTCATGTTAAAGGAAAGTGAAGTCTTTTTTAGAAAAGGGGTTTGCTCGAGAGCCCTGATGACTCATCTTGAATAACTCTTCCCCGGCAGTGAAAAGAGGGGCCTTTTTTCGCTGAGGATGTCGAGGAGGGTGCAGAGCTAGATAAGCAGTCCCGTGCCTGGCCTCCTGTCACCGTAATCTCTCACAGAGAGTCTCTAACCTGAGAGAAAGTGGTTAATCTGCCAGCCTGCATCTGCTTTAGCAGGAGGGGCCAAGTGTGCATGCTGTAGGAAAGGAAGGGAGGTGGGGGCTGCTTTTTAAGGTGTCCTTATTTATTATTTGGCTTCTTCTCCAGAAAGACATGCCGTCAGTGTTTCTCTCTAACACTCTTTCTCACTTCTCTATTCCTGACCTTTGAACACAGGCACACGTTCTCAAATAGGTGTGGTATTTTCCCTCTCAAATGTGAGATTAGAGCTGCTGCAACAAAAAAAAATCAAAGGGAGAATGAACAGAAGGGGCATTGTTTCCACAGGCCTGCCTGCTTATCTTAAAAGCATAGATTCATGTTCCAGCAACAGACAAATTGGAGAGCAGGGATTGCAGTTTTAGCCTTAGACTTACAATCAGAGGCATTGTGGTGGAAAAAGGAAAATGCAGAAAAGATCTGAAGAACAATTGAATAGAGGAAATCTTAAATCTGTACTAGAATGCATTTTAAGGATAGTTTTTGTTTTTACACCTTGGTACACACTCATACACACACAAAAAGTGAATATCTGGAAAGTAGCAACTTAACAAAAATGAAATCTAAAGTCAGAAACATTGTCACCTTAAATGCCCCTTTTAAAGTCACAGAAAACACCACTTTGAACTCAGAGCTTCTTCTGTCCAAAAACAAGGATTTCATGGCATTGACACATTATAAGTAACATTTCAGGTGCACTCAGTCTTGTTTTTACAAAAATCGAATGGTTTATTTAGAACCCTAGCTGTTTAATAATATGGTTTCTCATCTTACTGCCTGCGTCCTGTTCCTCTGCTGAGCTCATTGTAATGTTGGCGTAACTGCTGAACAAGCGGTTGTTAAAAGTACTCTGAAGAGCACAGTTTTATTAATGACCGACAAAACTAGGAAAAGAAAACCTGAACTGTAATAATCGAGAATTAACCTTAGAAACTAAAGTTCATCGCATTAGAAGTACAATACTGTTGGCCTTCGATACTGAAGACGTTTGTAAGGAGATACTGTAGATACCACTCCAGTTTATCAAATATTTGCATCACCAGCAAGTTTCTAACTTAGCATAGCATATAAACTGGAAATGGGACATGTGGCTACAGCTTGAAGCGAAAAGAAAATCTGCCTTGTAGACCCTTTAACAATAGCCATATTTGTTGAATTAAAGAGGAAACACTATGTTGTGCTCATTATCTCGGAGGAACAGTTGCTGAAGAGACTTTTGAAAGCTACTGGTCCATCCCAAATAAATTGACTGCAACACAGCACTCCTTAAAACAATTAAAAAAAAAAAAAAGTGTATTTCAGAAAAAGTTGAACTGCCACAGGTGGCGGTCCTAAGTGGACAGGGCATAGTCTATAGGTCCACCATGTACTGTATGAACGGTGTATGGATTTCATCTGGGGTGCTACTTCTCCTTGCATCTGGTCCATAGAGCACCATCTTCTGCCCACATTTCAAGCAGACAAGCCTGTCACCAGTGTGCACCAAACTCTTCAGAAGAATGTGTCAACTTTGGCCCACTAAGGAGCGGTGAAAGCAGGCTTGTCTTCCAGGCAGAGAGAAAGAGTGGCTGATTTTTTTCTTTTTCTTTTGGGAGTGGGGGTTAAGAGAGAGAGAGAGAGAGAGAGAGAGCCAGAGCCAGAGCAGTGGCAACGTTACTAATGAGCAACAGGTGCTGGAGGGCAGTAGCATGGATGCCATCTGTACCTCTGGAAGGCATCTATCCCCATAGGCAGCACACTAAACTCATTGACACCAGAAGATAAAATATAACGTGTCAGCCATGCTAGTGTGGCTTTGCTGGGTCATCTCCTGACCTTCCTGCTGCTTTGAAAGTTGCCAGAGCTGAATAGTGACCCTGGTGAAATCGACCCCACTCACCCCCCCTGACAGACCCACTCAATCACCCACTCACTGACCTGCTTCCAGGTTGGCTGCAGGAATATTGAAGACATATGAAAGTTTGTTCTTTAATGTGTTTGTAGTTTTATCAATCATGTTTTTTTTTCTTTTCTGTCCTGTAGGAGAATAAGTTCAACCCTGAAGTAGTCGAGCACATCTACCAGCACAATCCTGTCCTGAAGTACACCCAGGGCCCCCTGTATGCTCCTCTCCTGCCCTTCCCTTACGGCAGCCTGGAGCACACATGTAAGTATTTTTAAACTACAATGTCAAGCATTATCAAAGCAACAGTGTTTTGGGGTTGCAGATGTACTATACAGTTTGTACTGGTTTCAAAGTGCTTGGAATTTTATATGACTTGACCCCATGTAGGGGTTGGTTACATGGCATCAGACATTTTCTGTTACTGTTGCCGTTTATGGGTTTTACTGCTTATTTGAATCAAGCAGGGTGATCTCTGTGAATACTGTGCAGTTGAATTAGCATTAGCAATGTAGATTATTATGATAACTTTTATTTACCACGCTCATTAGAACATGTGCAAGCAGGCAAATCGCAAAGCAAAAGACAAAACAATATGTGTGACAAATGAATGTGTTGCATCTTAAATGTCACTGATAAAAAAATAAAAAAGCTTTGAATGCAGTGTACAGATATTCTAAAGGGTTAAAAAGAGAAGAAAACAAAAAGTAAGTCAAAGCAAAACATAGTATTGCACTCTCTCTTCCTTCAGACCACAGCGGGAAAGGCTACGGCTCGGTGCGTGAGGAGGCCGTGAAGCTCTTTAACTGCCTGCAGCAGTTGGAGTCGGCACGAGAGCCGGTTTCCATCATCCAGGGCGTGCTGCAGACCTGCTTAGACCTGCGGCCCCTCCGAGACGAAGTCTACTGCCAGCTCGTGAAGCAGACCAGCTACACGCCTGCCCCGTACACTGCAGCGCACCTCCGCTACTGGCAGCTGCTCACCTGCATGAGCTGCACCTTCCTGCCCGGGCCGATAGTGCTCAAGTACCTTCGATTCCACCTCAAGAGGTGAGCTGCACATAAAGAATAATGTTAACGGCATTCATGCAATGTTTTAAGAGTTATTGATATAGTTTGTATACATCCAGTATAAAGCAAACCATTAATAAATCCTGCTGACTAGAGAAAGCTGTTAATATCATCTCTTCCACGTAGTGTTATAGTTCTAAGAAAATGGAAAACAAGCCTTGTGACTTCTATCTTGATAGTTTAAGTTCATACAAACCACCATCGCGTGCTAACAGTGTTATTGCAGTGTTTAGTTCATGTTTGTAAGAGTGAACACAAGTTGTTGCAACCAGATGCCCCCCCCCCCCCCAGTCTCACAGGAATGGGACATTTCACTTTGAGTCAGATGTTGGTTATAGCAAAGGAGAGCATGAGATAAAGGTGGAGTAGTAGTTGTAGCAGGAAATACACAGGATCAAGCAGGCGCCAGCACCACCAGTTCAGATATGGAAGCATGGGTATGCCCTCACATGTTCGCCCAGACAGATCCAGTGTTTTAGAGCTGGATTTGCAGGTCTGAATTAGCCCCTCTGCCAAGCATACTACTCTTAGTTGTTAGAAGTGATAATCTCCTGCTCTAGATTTTCCGTCAAACGCCATGTCATCAAATCTCTCACTCAGTTTTCTATCTTTAAGTCAGCGCTTGGAATCACCGTGCAACTAATGGAACTGTTGCATGCAAGTCCGATTCATAATAACGCGGTGGAACTCGCTACCAGTGTGTTTTGATACGTCTTGCTCTCGCTCTCACGCACTCTCACTCTGTGGATCAGCGCTGAGGCTGCAGCTGGGCAGAGCTAAGACTGGAGCTGGGCTGTGGGCCCAGAAACCCTCCTCCACTCCCTCAGTGCCCTGAGAAACCCCCAGGGGAATGTCTGCTGTCAGAGAGAATAGGCCAAGAGAGAGAGGGAAAAAAAGCAGAGGATGAGGAGGAGGAGGAAGGGACTAGAAAGGAGGAAAGAGCAGAGAGGGATGAACAGGAGAGGGTATAGGAAGGATCACACAGACTCAGTGGAACATTCCTAATTATGTTTCAGCAGGACAAATCCTACCCTGTGGCCATAAAGTTATGAGAGAGCAAGAAATCGGAGGGAAAGAGAGGGCCTCTCTCTGTCTGGCAAAATGTTTGAGGCCCTCATTTGTCTCTCTCTCTGTCTTCTTTGGTGTGTGTGTTTTTTTTTTTTGGGACGAACATCTCAGTATAATTGTTTCCTTCCCATTTGTCCCTCTGTTTACACACAGTACTGAGCTCATATCTCCATCTTGTTGTAATTCACAGCTTTTACACTCCCCAAAGAGTGTTCGACTCGAGGCTCCCGTTTTAGTGTCTGGCCTTTGTGTCCCCTCTTTTAAAACAACAGCACACACACACACACACACACACACACACACACACACACACACACACACACACACACACACACACACACACACTCTCTCACCTACCACTCCTGGACCCTCCGCTGGGAGGAAGCGCAAGGTCACTCCGGTTCAAAGGAGCGGAAACACCTTTTCCTGTTTCGTACTCTACCCAAAGTCAAACATGTTTTCTTTGTCATTTTCCTTTTTCTTTGAAGGATTGATGGATGTTGAGCTTTTTTAAGTCCCTAAGAGCTGAAGTGTGAACATTAGTCATTCCTCGCCTCCTTGGCTCTCAAGCTTTGCCAGCCCAGAGAAAACAAAGAACTTGGTTGCATCAAAAAGATGATGTACATGTAAGTGTGCTTGCACACAGGCACACAGGGGGTTACCTATCCACCCATATCACTTACACTCTTTCTGGCATTCTTTTGTCTTCTCTCGTGCAGGATCCAGAGCCAAAGTCCCGAGTCGGAGATGGATAACTATGCGTCATTCATCAGCGAGGCTCTGGAGAAGACCAAGTGTCGGGAGTGTGTGCCATCCTGGGAGGAGATCCAGATGCTGATGAGCCGTCAGGAGATGCTGTGCACTGTGCACTACCCTGGTCCTGGATCCTGCCAGCTCTACATTAGCTCACACACGACTGCCAATGAGGTGTGGCCTCTTTTTTTGTCTACTTCTAAAATCAATTTTAGCCTCTTTAAACGTAGCCTAACCTGGATTCTAATCACATTAGTACATGTAAGCCATTGTAATGACAGAAATTCATTTTGAAGTATTCTGTTTTCACACTCTTAAAGTTTGACTGCTCCTGTATTTATCTTCTTCTTCTTTTTTTTTTTTTTTTTGCCCCCTTACCAGGTGGTTCGAAGGATGCAGGAGAAGCTCAGCCTGCAAGAAAGCAAAAACACGTTTGCACTGTACGAGCAGAACGCACTGTGGGAGCAGCCGATCGCAGGCGGCACTCTGATCGCAGACATCCTGACCAGGTTTGAAAAAAAAAAAAAAAAAAAAAAAGCAAATGTCTGTCTTCACCCTGTAAAACAGAACAGACAGACACTTTGAGGAAGTCAGACACAATAAAAAAAACCGAGCCGGCAGACACACGATCAAAACACTCTGTCTGGCAGGAATCTGAGCTATTTTTTCACTCGTGAGATGAGCACGTACAGAGCAGGGGGATTGTGTATTTATCTCCATGCTTATGTGTTATCCAGTATCCTTGATAACATGTGACCTTGTCTGGTCTTGTTGGTCAAACATGAATCCCTGCTGGGAAACTGGGAAACTATTTCTGTCAGGAAAGCCTGCCAGCCACCAGATAGCCAAGGTGAAGCTGATGTCATTTGTGCAAGACTAACTCTCAAATGAAACGACGGCTGGAATGTAAGGGCTTTTTTTTTTTTTTTTTTTTAAAGTGCTTAGTGACAGAGTAAAGACTAAACTAAACAACAACATCACACATGACTCCGTGTAACATATTAACATTGAGGATTCTTGGTGTGCCATTTATATACGAGTATGTTTGGTCCATGTCCCAGCTTTCTAACCGTTCCTTTCCCTGTTCTGCGCAGCCTCTCCTCCAAGGAGTCAGAGTCTAAATCCCAGTGGAAACTCGTCTTCAAGCTCTACTGCCTGTTGGATGCTGACAGCATATCAGTGGACAGCATTGAGTATCTCCTCCTCTTTGAGCAGGTAATGGAGCAGAAAGCAACTCCACAAAGGGCAGAGTCCTCCTCCAAATGTCTCTATGTTGTCAGGGACCATTTCACTGCTGAACATGAGATACGTTTTACTGTCTTGCTGTGAAACATTTCTTGTATTTCATTGGACTATTAGGTTTTTATTTTTTAATCATTTTTGTCTAATGAGCTGTGATTGCAATAAAAACACCGTGCTTTATGGGCATGACTAAGAACTCTGGCTGTAGCGCAGAGGGGGCAACAAGCAGCCAGCACTGGCTCAGTTAATGTTTTTCCTGAGGACTCTCATAAAAGAGTTATGGGACAAAATAAAGCAGGGTTGGGTAGGAAGGATTAATGGCAGGGCTGATGCAGTTGTGCCTAATGTTCTTCCTGTTCTTTTTCTCTGGTTGTGTTGGCCTTTGCACTTCAGTGTCATGAGATGGTGGTGCGTGGCCAGCTACCAGCCTGTGAAGAGGACCTGCAAGCCTTAGCTTCCCTGAGGCTTCAATGTCTAATGGGTGACTTCAGCACACACGCCCCATGCCCGCCCCTCGACGAGCTTTTCCCAGGTCACATGCTCGAAGCCAGAGTCCTCATGTCCCTGTCTGCACCCCAAGCCCTGCCTGCATGCCAAGTGGCGGCACAGGGCTGTCCTGCCACACAGCGCTTCCTGCAGGGAACGCTGTGGAGCCACACGGCTACAGCGGCACACAAGCAAAAAGTGGAGCTGGACATGCGTCTGCGGAGCCGGCTGAAGGAGGAGGCAGCGGCCGTCATGGGATCAATCTTGGAGCGTTGGAAAGGTCTGGTTGGCTACAGCCGCAGGGACAGTATGGCTGCTTACCTCACAATTGCACGACAGTGGTCAGGCTTCGGATGCACTCTGTATGAGGTGGACTTTTACATTGTGAGTATTGTGAGGTCACACTAACAACAATTTAAAAACAAAGAGAGAAAAGATTGTGCTTGTTCTGTGCCTACTTGGACACCTGATGTAAATTAAAGGATCTCTATTAGCGGTTCTGACATCTGCTCCCCTCTCTCTCTCTCTCTCTCCTTCCAGAGTTCAACAGGGAGTTTTTCCCAGAAGCTGTGGTTGGGTGTAGCTGCTACATCCGTGTCTCTGTATCGGCAGGGAGAGGCAGATGCCCTGGAGTCCTTCCCCTATGGCCAGATCTGTTCCTATGGGGTATCTGATAGCAACACTTTCAAGATCACAGCTGGGGATCGGGATCTGATGTTTGAAACCACCAAGGTAAAATGGCTTATGCCGAAAGTGAGCATACGCAGGCTGAGCTTAGACACCATCTATCTCCACTACAGACAAGATTCAGCTTGTGCGCAGTGCATTGGCTAAGTGGCCTTATCACAATATGCTCATAGAGCAAGTGAAAGACAAAACGCTGTCTGCTCATGATCCTCCCCTCCCTCCTGTTCTCTGACCCAGTTTAAAAACACTCACTAATTGTACACACAACCAGCCCCTGCTCTCCAACCCATGCAAACCACCAAAAGTCTGACTTCCTGGTATTAAACAGCAACTGGGGGTGAATTTTATTGCTGTGGTTAGATTAAATATTGGGCAACATTTCTAAGAAAGGAAAAAAAAAAAAAAAAGGCTGTCCTTCCAAAAGGCTTTTTTTTTCCAGTAGAGAACAACTCTCGCCTTTCACAGGGGCAAATTCACTTGCATCTTCCGACAGGGAACAAAAAAAAAAATCCCTCCGTGATCTCTCAAGGGGCACAAAAGTGGCTCTTATTTATTTATTGGACGCGCCGGCGCAAAATTTAAGTAGAACCGAGAAAAAGGCTCGTGCTTTCAGGAAATGAAGGCCTCGTAGAGCTCTGACATGAATGTGCAAGGGTTTTTGAGCTTCTGGGACAGGAAACAGGAGAGAGCGCAGATTTACAGGGGGTGATTATGGTTAGGCCTGGAGTTATGGGTGAGTGCAAGATTAGCTGCTGATTCAAGGGTAACAGTTGGAAGTTGACGAGTGGGTGAAGGGTGAGACTGCAGCTAGGCATGGTGTTTAGAAAAGGGTTTTGGGAATGGCCACGCTCGTCTGTAGTTGTTTAAAGTCTGCCGCAGCTGCGTGAGCAAAATACGTCACAGTGATATAATTGTGTCATAGTGATAAAAATAATGAGAATGAAATATCCACACGCATGTAACAGCTCTGTATGCATGTGCGTGTTCGCCACAGTCTGACACAAAACATCACCCTCAGCTTCTGGATGATCCAGTTTTTCTAGCAGCTGAATGACATCATCCCTCTCCACCCTCCTGTGACAGTGCCAGACAGACACTAAGATTGCCAGATTGACCCCTGTCTTTCTCTCCCTCTCTCTCTCTCTGTCTCTCTCTCTCTCTCTCTCTCTGTCACAGCTAACTGAGATCATGCAGCTGATGAATGCGTACTTCAGTGCCATCCGTCGACAGCGAGGGAAAGGGGAAGACGCTGACATCACCATGGTTTCCAGGCCGACGCCCACCCTTCTGGAGCTGCCCTCGCACCCTGTCTGAGTGGGACCCATACCCTGGACATTCCCTTTTAACCCACCCCCCCCCCCCCACCCCCGCCATCGTCCTCCACGTTGCCCCTTGTGAGGCCCAGGCCCGGTCCTCCGGACGCCACGCCTACTCCACTGGGAACGGCACGGCAGCCAAAACAAAGAGCGGGCTGTTTTCACTCCCCATCCATGAAAATAAACCTTCGCTGAGCTTTCCAGCTGAAGGAACTGGCTGCTGGAGGACGGGTGTGTGGGGGTCAGGGAGGGGAGGGGAGAGGAGAGGAGAGGAGGGGACGGAAAGGCAAGGCAAGGGGGTTCTGTTTTGCGAGTGAGGCCCGAAACCCACAGAAACCAATGTGGTTACTGATGAGCTGTCACATACCCTCCACACCATCCTGTCATGCAACCACCTCTGTTACCCTACATGGAAAGCCCCCGCCGCCCCCCCCCCCACCCATCCCCTACCTCACCCCAACCCCAGCCCTCCTTGACAATGTGAGACTTTTGCGTGAGCCATGCATCAGGGAGAGAAAGCATCATAAGAGTTAGAACTTATGGCAACTACTATAAGCTGTGGTACTCCCCTCATGAAGGTATGGCTTTGAGTGAAACACTACTCTGTCTCTCTTTCTCTCTCTCTCTCTCTCTCTCTCTCTCTCTCCCACTCATTGTGCCATATTTGTTCTGCCTTTCCTAGAAGGCAGCCGTCCCTCATGCACTGCTGGAATAGTGTTGAGAACATTCAATGACACACACACACACACACACACACACACACACACACACACACACACACACCCCTCCCTTGTCCTTGGCTCTCACTCTCTCTCTCTCTCTCTCTCTCTCTCTCTCTCTCTCGCACACATACACACTCTCTCTTTCTCTCTTGCTTGCCCTTATGCTGACATGCTCCTCAGAGACGGTCAGTTTTCGTAAGGTCCCTGCCAGGCTTGCATTACCTGGAACTGTTGATGCAGTGAGCCATGTGAACTTGGAGCTTGAAACAGATGTTGAACTCTGTAGCTAAGTGACTTTGGCTGCCATGTTCATATAGACTCTTACAGATGGGATTCTCTTCTCTTCTGTGTGTGTGTGTGTGTGTGTGTGTGTGTGTACGCGTGTCAATTTGTCAATTTCCTGGATGACACATTGAGGGTCCGAGCTAGTTTTGTTTCATATAAACCAAAGGACTCTTCCGTTTCTTCCTTGTTTCCACCAAATGCTCTCATGTCATGTGTCCTTTGTTGTGCTGCTTGTCTTGGCTGTAATCCTCCTCCTAAGACTTTAACACTTGACTGATAAGATGACTTTTTTTTTTTTTTCTTTTTTTTTTTTCAGTTTCTGCTCTAATGCAGCTCTATTCTGCTGAAAATAACAGGTGCTTTTACTGTTTGTTATTGTTATTTTCACATTGTACATATATATTGGAAAAAGCTCAACTTAAGAGTTCACTTAAAAAACCCTTAATCATCAGATATCTGGATAATTAAAAGAAGAGACACCATATTATCCATGCAGTTCCCCCCCCATCCACCCCCCTTTGCTATTTAAACCGACCTTTTTTTTTAATCAGGCCATGGATGCTTTTGTAGAATTATTTATGCAGACTTTTGCTTTTTTTTTTTTTTTAATCGTTCTTTACGTCTTAAATGCAGACCCAGTTTTTTTTTCTTTGACATAAGGTTCACCAGAAGCTACAAATGCTTCTGGTTGTGTTCTCCTTTAAGCTGTTTTGTAAATCCTGTGTAGCTCCTTCTTTGTGCTCACTGTCTGAGTATTCTTTTGAAGCCAAAGTTATGCCAAGTCATGGATTTGAGCATGGACCAAAGATGTTTGTTTTTATAAGCTTTCATGATCAGAAATAATCCCAAAGCAGACAGCCCCCCCCCCCCCCCCGCCCCCATTTATTTGACTGTTTTTCATTTTCCTATTTCTATTCTTTTAACTTGAATGTCACACGAATATGAAGACATCCCGTTGTATACATAGTTCACATTATTTTAATGTAATCAATGACCTTTAAGGAATCTGAGACCGTAGATAGGCTTCTGTCAGTATCATTTTAGATTGCTGTCTGCTTCACAAACCCCATGCAATAACTAGCCTGAAGACTTCTTCTCACCATGAAAGGCCTTGACCCGTCGTTGCAGTCAGCCGTCGCCTGCTCAGACGCAGGTTTTTTTTGTTTTTTTTTTGCATTTTCTACTGCAGCTGCAGGCAGCTCCAAGCTACACGTATGAGAAGAAAAAAAAAGAAATCAAACTGCGGATATTGTCGCTTTGTATTAAGCTTGTTTGTATGCTGCATGGTACCTTTTTATGTAATGAGTGTATAGTTACTTGCACTATTGTTTGTTTTTGACTAACTTGGAAGTGCAATAAAGACAATAAATACTGTATGTAACTAATAAAACAGCACCATTTTACCATATTGTGTCTTTCTGTACGGTTCTTAAGCCGCAGCGCTCATTTCCTGTCGTATTATCAGAACATGTGCTTTGACCAGTGAAGCAGTGTAAGACTATTGTTTTCAACCAGGCTGGTTTTCCTATAAAAGGCTGGAGTTTGGCGCCAGGGGCAGAGCTCCGAGCTGCCTCCTCCACAAAGCTTTTCAGGTTAGAAACAATAGCTGGTTGAGCAAGCGTTGCTAAGTGGTTCCCCTGTGGTAATGAGCCTTAACTGAGTAGGAATAACAGCCCCCACTTCTCTGCAGCTCCAGGTGAGGGGGGGGGAAACATGGGGGTTTATCATTTTAAAGGCAGGTTTGGTTTTACACATGAACGTAGTATAACAACTACAAAGCGGGCCTTCAGTTAACATCAGAAACATTTCACATACAAACTAATAGAAAAAGTGTTTATTCATTATTTTTGAACAGGTCCAACAAGAAAAGCACTGTATACTTGTATATTCATTTCAAACAATACAGACAATGCCATTGAACCAGTTTTCCTGAAGTATATTTACAAGACAAAGATAAAGGTGATAAAACTAGATCCAGTTTCTCATCCGAGCAAAGCGTTACTTTCTCTATTGCAGGTGACTAATGCTGTCAACGCAGTTCATACAGAATGATGGGTATTTGAACATCGTATTTCAATGATGTGTATCAGCAGCAGACTGTACAAAGCACTTTGTCAGAAATGTTTGGGAAGCAAGAACCGGCATTAAACATCATGTCAAACCCACTCCCAATATTCGAGGCACTGGCTCTGTATGTGTCTGATGTTAAACAGCTAAACAATAACGGAAGCACTGTACTGCGTATAAAAATAGAACAAAACAAGGCAGCGGGTTTTCTTACGTCAGTGAATAATATACAAGGGGGGGAGAAGCAGAAACTGAAAACAACTTTAACAGATAACAGATTTGTTTTAGTATACAGTTCAAAGAAAGAAGTACTCAGCTTTTATTTCATTAGACAATTAGTTAAGGATTATTTTTATTTCAATCCTCTGAATATCTCTGGGATGTGACACAAAACAAGTATTTTTTACACTGCGATAAATATTTTTTTCAGAGAAGCAGTTATAGCCAAATACCTGTCTACATTTCAGAAGATTTTTTTTAATTATTTAGATGGAATAATCTAGCTAAGCATTGTATGCAGACAGGGTTGTAGTTGAGATACCGTGACGAATAGTTCATTGTTCTTGCGTTCCCCAGGAGATGTAGTCGGGCCGCGTGGCTGCGCTGTACTCGTCCACCAGCTGCTGGACCACCTCGCGAGAGTTGTCCAGCTCATCAAAGTTGTCCTTGAATATGTCCTCTTTGCGGAACTGCTCCAGGAAGGCTTCGCGCTTACGCAGTTTGTCGTACTGCTTGCACGTCCGCTCGAACAGCTGCGGGACAGAGAGAGGAGAAAGAATGAGTCTCAAGACTGTAAAAAAGGGGGAATTATCTACAGGTTTTTCTTCTGACTTCATGCTCGCATTCTTTCCGTTGTTGTTATCATTAATGACTTCACAAAAAACTTCCGTAGATAACTGTTGTTTCCCCTTCTTATCTATAAGAGCTGAAGTTTTAGGTAAATGTCAAATGTTTATCTATATAACCACCGGTAAAAGCTTCCTCAATCAGATTAATTTAATGGCATCACAGCATTTACCCTTCCATAAGATATCACAGCACCTATGTTAAAACAAAAACTGAAGTGTCAATTGTCTACTTTGGCAGGATTCCAATCCAAAAGCTTTTATTGGTGGAATTCCCCTTTAACTGCTGCTGTTGAGTCTCCAATTTGAGACAATGGACATCTTCCAGTATTGACTCAGAACAAACACAGACAGGTCTTTACTGTATAAATACACACTGGAGGAGAATGTAACTGAACAGGCTGCAGTGACATGACTCCAAGAGGAGCACTTACAGAGGAGATACTTGTGTGGTTGGCCATCATCAGGCCACTGACTCGGTGAGCAGAGGGCAGGTAAGGGGACTTCCTGGACAGAGCCACCTGGATGCTGGCGGGACCCCAGGGAATGAAGCTGGCAAGTTTACGCTCCCGGATTCTTTGGAGGCTTTTGTGAACCTAGATAGATAGATGGGTACTTTATTAATCCTTTGCAGGAAATTACACCGTCACAGCAGTGACTGCAAGCGCAGTCAAGGCGCCATACAAAACTAGCAAATACCATCTAGGCACATAAAAAACAACACCAGAGAGTTTGCACCAGTACCTGTGTGGGGTCAACCTCTCCCTGGATGATATTAAGGATGGCGATGTAGCAGTGACTGGGCTGCCTCTCTCTTCCTGTGGACACCATCACGTTCTTGGGTTGCAGAAGCCTCCTCATCACATCCAGTACTGTGGTTTTCCTCACACTAGCAACCTGAGACACAGAGTGATTCATAAGTCAACATTTCTGACACGGACAGTATTTCAAACACTTGCTGCTTACAAAAGATTCAACGGCAGATTTCATTGTGTTGATTGAAATCATTCTCAATTTGATTCCATGCCTGCAGCTGGTCTGAACTTACCGACTGGTCGGTGGTGAGTGGTGTGTATCCAGTCATGAGGAAGTGGAGGCGGGGCGTGGGGATGAGGGAGGCAATCAGGCCAATAAGGTCGTTGTTCATGTAGCCTGGATAGCGCAGGGTGGTTGTGCTTGCAGACATGATGGTTGAAACCTGTGTGTATAAAGGTGTTTTAGATGCATGGATGTTTACAAACTATCAGGCAACTGCTAATTTAGTAAATATACCCGCTGGGCCCCTAAAAAAAAGCTTAAATTAAATGTAAAGTATGTGATGGTGGGGGAGGGGGTGTGGCTCCTGTCAGTAAGCAGGAATGCACAGCTCGTGGAACTGTTTGATTCTCATTTCTAAGAAAGTTGAAATCCAGTCTGACGTTTAACTGACTTGCACAACTCGTTTTTTTTAATCTGTTTTGTGGAGAACCACTGGCGTGCAGAACAGTCTGTCTCGACGTTTGACGCTGTTTGAACAGAGATCTCAAACTAAAACCTGCCGACTGACGAGCAAAGAAAAACAAGCGAGAGGGGAGGATGAGGCTGTAACGCAGGCTTTCACTCACCAGCTGATTGATCTGAGAGAACGAGGGGTTCTGGATATGCAGCCTGTCTGTGGCTATGCGATTTAGAGCTGTGTTATCCAACACCACCTGAAACACACACACACACACACACACACACACACACATACACACACACAGGGGAATTATTAGACAGATGAAGAGAAAACAGAGAGGAAAAGATTCCCTTCAGCACAACAACAGGGTAAAATTCAATACAGTGACACAGAGTGAGGAAATGAGAGTAATGACAGTTAAGGAACCTCTTAAGGAGCAGTACAGTGTGCTGTTGTTAGGAGAGCTGAACATAAAAGACACACTGTACAGTTACAACAGGGGGACTGATTCTTGGGCAGATTCTGTTAGCCCTCCAGCTAATTTAATCAAGATGAGGGCCTCATGCAAGACCCTGGAGGAAGTAGGTATTAGAGAGGAAACACCATTACACTGTCAGGGCATCTCAGACTAATACAATCAGCAGTTTAAGTCGGGGGTTTTATTAAGTTTGATTTGTAATGCCTCAGTGCTGCCGCTGCAGGTTGCCTCTTTATTAGTCTGCTACACAAGCACTGCAGCGTAGTGAGAAAATTCAACAGGGGTTTAGAAACAAAAAGTTAAAAAAAAAAAAAAATCAATGAAATACATTTGCTGTAGAGTTTCACCAAAAAGGATTTGAAATGTGTTCACAGGAAGTCGTTGAATTAGAAGGCTTCGTTTTCCATGTGTGTGATGGTGCACAGACAAACGACAGTCTGACAACTAGCTAGTCTAATTATCAAAACTCACACTCAAGTCATGCTTTAGTCCTGTATTTAACTTAGTTTTTGTTTGTCAGGTCTGTTTTTTTTTTTTTTGTCTGGCATTGATAGTGTTCCCTTGTTGGGTATTGTTCTATATAATTTATTGTCGGGTATTGTACTGTTGTAAAACATTTGAAAACAATAAAAATGTTGGTCATAAAAAATAAAACTCACACTCAAAGGGTGAATTGATATTTATCAATGGGATTTTTTCCTTTTTTGGGGTTGGTGGATTTTATTCCTATAATGTCTTAAAAATGACATTAAACAAACCTGCACTGGCTCCCCAGCCAAAAGGAGCCAGTGCAGAATAGATTTGTGTTTATTAAACCGTTTTTTATATTATTTTGATTGCAGTATGTTACAAACCTGTGAGACTTACCGTAACCAAACTTAACCTTTTAAAATATCGATAGTCTTTGATGCTTAAACACGGTTTGAAAAGTGCTCTAACTCCGCCATTTACATTAGAAAACACAAGTTTTGGGGGGGGAGAAATTATTTTGCTTCCTGTTTCAGCTCATTGTTGTTGGAACACTCACGCTTCCATGTTGGATTTGGACTCATCTAAGTGGCACAAATACACGTAAAAGAGGGCTTGAACGACCTTGTGGATTTGTTTGTAAAGCAGAGAAATATACATCCAATGCTGCTGCTCACCACGCAGTCCGCATTCTGGGTGAGCCTCTTCAGCGTGAGCAGAGAGTTGTACGGCTGGACGACCACGTCGCTCATCTCATCCTGGTTGGGGAAAACTGAGTATGTCTGCACCAGCTTCTTTGGGTACCTGGAGTTCAGACAATGTTAATATTATAACAAGAAAATGATTGACTATGAATCAGTTGTGTGTGTGTGTGTGTGTGTGTGTGTGTGATATTTAAGTATGTTTTTTTTTATTTTGTGTGTTTGCAGACCTGTCATTGAGTTTCTCCAGCAGATAGGATCCAAGGCCAGAGCCCGTCCCCCCAGCGATGGAGTGGCACAGGACAAATCCCTACAAAGACAAACGCTTACTTGTTACTCACTGCACAAATGTGCAGCTACACCATGTGCCACGTGTGTGTGTGAAGCTTACTGTAAACTCTACTGATGCAGAGTAGTGAGTGTGTGTGTGTGGGTGGGTGTGTGTGTGGGTGAGCAAAGGCCTCTCCTTCTCTGCAGTTAAATAAATGAAAGTGCAACCCCACCTCCCAAATAGGCTTCCTCAAAGACATCCCAGTAATACCTGCCTTCTACACTCGCCCCGGCTATTATCACCAGACTTCCTACACGCCACACCCTGCCAACATACACACGCTCACGGCTGCACGCCCCACCTTCCATTCCAACGCACACTTGAGTGCACACATTAAATAATAATGTGGGGTCATAATGTGAATGACTTACAGAATTGCAGACCTTAGAGAGGAAATTTGAGTGTTATTTTATGGGAGGCTGGCAGCTAAAGAAAGTCCACCAAAAAAAAAAAAAAAAAAAAAAAAGAGGCTAAGAATAATAGTGAGGCTCGGCTGGGCCTTTGCAAGTTTTAAGATGACAGTTACTGGCACTGCTTTAGCACACTTTCAATCAACATTTCTGGATGCAGTCGACCACAACAAAGACACAAACAGCTTTTTTTGATGTGGTAAGATCGGTTTAGTACATTAAGTACTTTTTGATACCATTCAAACCATTGAAGGATTGCTGAACAGGCCTACATGGCACTGAGTTTTGATGGCCAATTTAGCGTCACCTACAAAATAACACTGACGAGACATCAAATGAACCCACAGAACAAAATGTTAAAACAAGCACAAAGAGAAACAAAATGACAATATAAGACAATACATGACGTGGCTGCAGCATTTGCAGGTGATTTGAGTTTTGTTTCTACAAAAGAGAGAGAGGGGGGCTTTTAACATGTCAGTGTCCTGAGATTAAAGATCCATCATCCATAAATCAAGGAACATAAAATCCTGTTTTTAAAATGTTTGAACAGACATAAAATCTTAAAAATGATTGCAAGAACAAACACCACGGTATGGCCTTACACGTTTGAGATGTAGACACACTTTGTGCGTGGTAAGAGGCTATATTAGTTTATATTTCCACAGCAATATCATATTACTTTTAATCTGTTTTTTTTTTTTTTTTTTAATTCCAAACAATTAAAGCTCTAAGAAAGCTGATATGTGATATACTTGCCTCCAGACTGTCACTGCCATCTGCCTCCCGGTCAATGATGTCAAAAATGTCTTCTTGTATTTTTTTGCCCTTTGGGTGGAGAAACACACACACACACACACACACACACACACACACAGTTTTTAATACATCGCATTTGTATTTCTTTAACCAGGATTCACTGCGTGGGAATAAAAACATTTCCAGCACTTCACCTGTGAATATCCACTCGCCCAGTTATTCCCAGCACCTCCGCCGTGCTCGGACAGGTAGATGTTCTCCGGGTTGTACAGGTTTGCATAGGGAGAGTTGAGGATGGAGTGGATCACCCTCGGCTCCAGATCCAGGAGAACTGCTCGAGGGATGTAGTGCTCGTCATCGGCCTGTTGATGGTGCGTGAAAACAAGAGCAGGGCTTAACTGGAGATCAATTCATTCAAGTCTGTAGGTTAGTGCGTCCACTTGCAGGGCTTGAGTTACTGTACTGTACTTCACAATCACTCCACCTAGTGGTCACATAACGGTGTTGCAATTCAACAAAGACACAAGCGTCTACCATCAACATACATTGAAATTGAAATTGAAATTGAAAAAAAACAAGTTTCAGGTTACATAATTTACATATTAAGCAATACTACAGGTCTGTTGGGCAGTGGGCCCACCAGAGAATAAACCTTCATAGAGGCAAATAAGGTGGTGAACAAACACATCTGGAATTGAAATTGTACCTTTGTGAGATCATCAAGTGATGAGGTCGCATTTGGGGCCACATTACCTGATAGAAGAAAACGTCTTTTCTGTCGGTCCCCTCAGTTGCAAACTCCTCCACAATCCCCTCTGGACTGATGCCATGCTCTGCACACAGCTGCTTCCAAAACTCAAAACCAACTGAAAATCAGGAAGAGGAGAAGGTTGGCGTTTTGTCACCTTTAAAATCATGCATTCATCAAAAAAGCTTATCAGATAAACAAACGTAAACAAGGGTGTTAATGTGGCATCCTGTCACATGCACGACAACACACTGGAAGCTGATGTTTACTTGCAGGATGTGAAGTTATTATTTGTAGTGCATGCTGAGGAAGCTCCACTGACGTTGTCAACCACAATGATGTATATTCTGAGCTTAGCTAAACTTGATGCTAGCGTCGTTACAACAGCAGTAAACCTGACAGAATCGTCTCCGCTAGCTAACTCAAATGGTGACGCGTAGGAGGAAACAGGGATAACGTTTGCTCGTCCATGTGTCCACGTACTTTGATTTCCGCACTGTCCGAGCTGTAGCGTTATGATTTCCCGCGGCATGGTTCAGTCTTCAGCCCCGCTAGCTGCTTGCTAGCTAGCTAAATAATACATGAAAAGTAGGACCGCTGATCAGACCTCTGCACCACCAGCCCGCTCGCTCGCTTCCCGCTTCTGGTGACGCGTATTTGCTGCGACCGTCTCGCTGTCGCTGTTTAACAAACAAACACTGAAGCGCGTCACACGTGGACTGTTTTCTCCTCTTTACCTGTGTTTCTTAAACTGATTATGGAAGTTAAATGTTCAGTGTTAGGGATATTATTATTTTTAATACAGTTATTGTTCGGCAGTAAAAGAATAAATAATAATAAAAAAAATCTTCCATAGGTTTTACAGTTGACGCTGGTTTTAGTGTTTTACATTATAACTAAGTGTTAATATTTGTTTATTTGGGAGGAATCAATCTCTCTTTGAAAGAGCACCAATCACATTTAAAGTATTACTTACACGAATAACACATTTCTTAACGTGTAAGAAATATAAGAGTAACACAAGATAAGCGTACGAGTCAATCAATCAATCAATCAATCAATTTTTATTTGTATGGCGTCAACTCATAACAAGTGTTATCTCGAGACACTTTACAAAAAGCAGGTAAAATACCTTATTTATTGTTATGTTACAAAAAGCAGGTAAAAGACCTCACTCATTTTTACGTTACAAAGAGTATATTACGAGTAACATAGCCTACAAATAATTTATGGATGTTTTTAATTCTCTTATGCAGTGAATGAACTCTGTGTGAAGCACATTGGGTTGATGCTCACTGCTCATTTGATGCATTTTATTTTTGGAGTCATTTTGCCTTATGTTGATATAACTTCATATCTGTGCTGTAGACTTCTCTGTTTCAGGTTGAGGTTTTTCTTTTGTTTTCTTTTATTTATTTAACCTTTATTTAACCAGGTTGGTCCCATTGAGATTAAAAACCTCTTTTCCAAGGGAGATCTGGCCAAGACAGGCAGCAGCAAAAAAACACAAAGTTACAGACGGAAATACAAAGAGAGACACAGTACAATTTACAAAGCACAACATTTTGGATTAAAAATAGAAACCATCTATGAGTCATATCTGGGACTCAAGCAGCCAAGCTAAAAACATCGACGTCCTATAGAATCTGCTTCCATGTCTTTCATTTGAGATTTAAAAAAAACATTTAAGGACACCATGCTCCTTGAGCTTTAAGTCATTCTGCAGCAGATTCCAGGCTGAGGGTGCAGAATACCCCAAAAGCCCTTCTCCCAATTTCTGTCCGAGCGTTTGGGACATGAAGAGGTCCTGAGAGTGCAAAAGAATATTGTCCAGTACTTCTCTGCATGATAAAAAACACATAGATATGAGTGCTGATTTTGAAGTTAAATACCTCTACCTATTATTACGAATAATGCCAAGATACAGTCACCATCAAAGTGAGAGTTATAGACTGGCCGTGCAAAGATTTCATCCCCTAGTTTTGTTTCCTGCCTTCTTGATTTTTTCATTTTTATAGAATTAACCAGAGGTATTACTTTACTTACGTTTCTGCCTTGACACAATGCACTGCTCTATCATGAGCATGTGGTGCCCTCTAGTGGAACTCTTTTTTTAATTATTTTTTACCACTTACCTGGTTTACTGTAATGTGCCCGGTCTAACCTAAAGAACAATATATAATAAATAAATTAATAATATAATAAAGAAGCATAAAATGAGCTAAAGCCCTATCTAAGTATCTAACTTAACTATAATTAATCAAATAATGAAGTTTTGAGCCTACTCTTAAAAGAACAGGGAGTGTCAGTTTCATGCATAGACAGTGAAGATTAATTTAACAATCTATACTTTTTTTTACGCGAACCAACTAGCCTAATTCAAATTCGACGGAGCAAATGTCCAATGGTTTGTTAGTTACATAAAAAGCCATACACATTTATGTGGGATTACCAAAGTAAACATAAATCAAAAGTTGAATATTTAAAAAATAAATAAATAAATAAATAGGTTATTTGATACGTCAATGCCCTGACTGGGGTTGTCAAAAAAAAAAATCCCTATTCCACCTGAACGCAGCATGACACAGGCGCTCGAGCGGATTGTGATTGGGTAGCTGACAGAAAAACAGGTTACGCCATATTGTCAGCTACCGAAGACAGCGCAAATGTTCTTTACAAAATGAACAAATAGTAGGTGTCATCTTGCTTTAACGTATCTCTGCAATGCATTGGACGCTACGCTATCTTGTGTTGTGTTCACTTGTTTAGTTTAAGACGCAAATACGACGATTCAGGCGGCGTCGCTAACTGCTAGCTTAGAACCCTGGTTAGCATATAGCTGGTAGCCGATTTTGTGAGTGGAGCTGCTCCGTGGCGCCTCGTTTTACCTGCGTCCACCTAAGTCTAGTGTTTTTTTTTGTTTTGTTTTTTCTTCAGGCTTACTTTGTAAACTCAAAGATGGACCACACTGGGACAATGGAAGGCGGACCTGTGAAGGATTGCTCTGCCACGCAGGGGTCTGATGTCTGTCTGCGAAGTCGACCATGCTCCTCCGAGAGAGACAGTCAGGTGCGGGCTGTCAAAGCCGCTCTGCAGTCCCGGTTGGGGCCCTATGAGCCAGTCCTGACCTATCTACAGTCCGTCCTCCTGTGGGAAAGACCCTTTCAGTGTGTGCTTCTCTACATCGTGGTAAACATTGTGTTCTGGTACGTTTCGACTGATTTAAGTGAAACTTTTGAACGTTTTGACTTGCAAACTTGCTTCCCCCCCCCCCTGTGCTTGTTTGTGTCAGTGTTATAGCAACCTACATCCAGACAAAACAGAGCGTCTAATTATTGGGTGAAAGCCAGCGTGACGGCGAGCAGCTGGGGGATTTGAGACAATGCAAATGTTTCAACCTGTCAATTCAAGGCAGCACAGATGGCTGGCGAGTGCATCTATTTATGGACTCAAGCTTCTCAGGGTTCTGCTTTACCTCTCCTTTATTTTTTTTGCTCCCAACCAATTAGTTTTCTTCATCTACACTATGGTGCCCTGGATTATCCCCGATACCAGTTTTGTGTGAGTGTAGGAGGCTGTGCAAGAGGACGAATCTGCAATATTCATGCCCATGTGTTTTTAAAACACAAGCTGGTTTGGCTTCAGTACACCTAGTCTATGAAGTCTATGAAGTCTGAGAAGTAGGTATCATGGACTCCAGTCTGTTTATAGATACAGTGTATCTGTTTGACAAAGTGCAATTTAATTCCATTCCCTCAAACCCTGGGTTAGCAATTCAATGAAAATGTTCTTAAAATCAAGTGTTAGAGGAAAGTAGGGAATATATCACAGGGTAGGACTTTAGACAGGTATTAGCGAAATGAGGTGACCTTGATATGGTTTCATTGTAAGAGTCACTGGCCTGGGACAAAGCGAGCGAGGGCAGGGCTGACTGGCCTGCTTGTGGAGCTCAGGCACTCAGCCTTTATTCGATCAGACCACTGGGCACATTTTCTGCCTGTACAGTCTCGCTTCAGTGTGCTTCAATGCACTCTCGGGCCAGTAATGGCCCCCAAGAGATGCATTCATCAACTACATTTTGGCTTCAAACAACCGATGATGAAGTGTCACATGTGAGCTAGAAGGGGAAGCAATGGCCGCCCTTCTGACAGCAGGTATAGAAGTAGCTTTCAAACAAGTAACACCCAACACCATCATTTAACTACATGTTTCAAAAGGTTGATGCTAGTCTTTGATTTGTTTTGTCATAACTTGGGAGGATGAGCGTACCTGTAGTTGTTTACTCTTGTATGTGCTCTTGCAGTGCTAGGTTTACATATGAATGTTTTGTTTTTATCATTAGCTTTTTATTGCGCTCCTATCCAAAATACAAGAAAAACACTTTCTTGGTTAGCAGTTTCTTTGTTGGGATAATCTCTAACTGCTTATTGGCAAGGACGTAACACCGTTGCAGTAAACACCTTTTTAGTCTTGTGATCTGGAAGCCACACTTGGATATCTAATTTGTTTATTTAGAGAGTGGGGTTTGTGTGAAAATAGACTTCATACTTCCTCAAAGATGAAAACCACATGGTAAAACCCACCTGTGCTATGATACAGTCTGCTGCTAAGACCTTAATTAATCATCCCGTTCTTGGTTTGTTAACTCTCTATTTTTATACGAGAGCGGCGCCATTGGTTTTTAGGGCAATGTTTATAGATGTAATATGTACGAGTTATTCTTGTCATATTTCCTTGTTCATTTCTGAGTTATCAATAATGGGTATTTCACAGCAGATCAGAGTCAGTATTAGGTTTATTGCCACGCACGTTTACACATACAAGGACTTTGACCAAATCAAATCACATAAAACCTGAAGAGTATGAAAGTAGACCACTTTGAACAGCAGTACTTCTCCTGTCAGGGGACTTCAATGATGGTGGAATAACATCCTCTTGAGACACTTGTGACTAAGAGTTTTGTGGTTTCATGAACTAAATGGCTGAATTGTAGCACTTTCTTAAATGTGTTATCCTGGGGTAACAGGCATCATGAGTGCCTTCTGTTTATGTGTTGCTTTGTTTTTTTTTTTTTATTCCCCTCCAGGTTCTTTGCCCTGACCTCACTGCGCCTGCTCTTCCTGCTAGCTACTCTTCTGGCTGTGGCTGTCTGTGTTGATACCTGGAGGAATAAGATCTGGCCTGAGATTAAAGGTGCTACAAGTTGCTATTTGTGGAAACCTTTTCTATCTTTTTCACAAAATCTTACATTTTTGTTCAGCTTTCCCCATGTTATGCCCTGTAACCTTTCACAATGCCCTAGTTTACTGTGATTGCAACACATGTACATTGTAAGAATAGATATGACTACTGTCAGCTGACCTTTACTCGGGACTTTGTTTATTTACGTGAAATACACTTAAGAGTACAGCTGAACAGAACCTGATCTACACACTAAGTGTACAGTGTTTATAGGAGATTTAAGAGTGGAGAAAAACTCAAGTGCAAACCTAGGACTACTTTTTATGTAATGTACTCTCAGTATAGTCTACACAGATGTGCATAATGGTTTATCATGTTCCTTAAAGTGATGTATGTATTATCTCTCCCCCAGTCAAAAACCAAGACGAATCAGAGAATGAGAGGTGTGTTAATGTAACTAGACAGCATTCCCTTAAAAAATAATGCCAGCAATGATAATGGTGAAGTGGAAAACTGATAAAGGTGTTAATCATTTTCTCTGTTCGTGTAGCTGGGGTCTGGTGCAGCCTGGCATTGTCAGTGTGCCTGAACTCTGCCACCACATCGCTGAGGCCTGGGTCAGTACAGCAGTGCTCACATGCAGTGTGCTGCAGTACAAACAACAGAACCCTGGCAAGGTGAGCACCTCACACAGCAAGACAAATTGAAATGTATAAAAAATATTGTCACATTGGATTGGCTAATTCAAATCTCAAGTACTTTAACATACAATCTGCTGCATTCATTCTATCCTGTTAAATTGTTATGAAATACGACGCAAGATCCATCCTGTATTAAGGGAATAGTGATTAGAATAAGAGTGAAAATGTCATAGTGTTGTTGGCTACGGTCACTTGCACTGTAAACAACATACATTATAGCTACTGACTTGATTCCCTGTGTTTTGTCACTCTGCATCAGTTCTGCATCCTGACCTGTGGAGTGTTCACCTGTTTGGCTGTGGTTGGACGATATATTCCTGGACTGGTGCTCTCCTACTCTGCTGGTGAGTCCCAGAAGTTTAACCAGTCCTAACTACAGATCCAGGATCCTTCACAGGAGCAGGTTGGTAGGGAAGCGCCTCCTCACTGGTCCTATTAAACTTTCAAAGGTGTGAAACCAGATCTGTCAGTCTAGCCTGTGAGGTGATTAAGACCAGTATGAGGTACACAAGGAAGGAGTAAAGAGTGGGAAGGAAATGAGTAGAAAGCTCAGACTGAGACCAGGCTAATCTCCTGACCTCAAACCAGTACAGGCTGCAGGGTCAATAAGCGAGAGCTGCCAAGGTCCACTGCTGTGACGTCTGAAACAACCCACAGCAGCTTGTACTCTACATGTCAACTCCCTGCTGGTCCTTCTGTCTTACGGTGTGTAGTGAAGAATAACAGACCTGTGTTTATTTGCAATAATGAGAATCTGCACAGAACACAAATGGGCACAACACATGTTCAATAATTTTCTAATCAGCTCCAATGGACATTTCTCTTTCTTTCTAACAATCAGTAATCTGCTCCTCTCCTGTAGTGTTGGCCACTCTGCTGGCCCCTCTGGGAGTCTATCATAGGATCTTTCAGCATGTGTGTGTGAAGCTGGAGCCGGCTCTGCAGCGGCTAGACTTCAGTGTTCGTGGATACATGATGTCAAAGCCTATTGATAATCAGTGTAAGTGGTGAATCAACTTCTATTTAAGTACCTATTTTACTAAGTCAAAGTGACATGGAACTTTGAACATGCAAATGTAACAAATGTAAAACACTTTTCCCTTTGACTGTCGGTAACACAAGCTAAGAACTCCCCAAAAAACGTGACTTGAACTTGGTCTTTGTTTTCGCAGCATTAAATTTAAGTGACATGTTCACACTTCTCACTTTAAGGCAGTAAGTCATCAGTTTGAGCTGAAAGGACAAATCACAGACAGTCATCTGGAGCAAATTATCTTTTTTCTCTACTTAATGCTTTAGGGCCCTCTGCACAGGAAATACTGTTGTATCAGTAAACTTAAAAAAAAAAAAGTTTTTAATTTTTGAAAGTTTTGTTGTGATTAATTTAATAAAGTATGTCAGTCTTAAGTTCCATTGTTCTTAAAAGTCAGGTTAATATGTTGGTGAACCCCTATATCTTTTCTTTATTTACGTACAAGGATTCTAACTAACTAACTGTCATCATGATCTGTGAATCGGCCAATCATCTGGACTATAAACTATGATTGTGTATTTACAATCCAGGAAGCCTTTTGCATTGAAAAGAAGAGTATATGCTTTAAAATGACCTAAGTAAGTAATGGGTCATTTATACTCTGTGTGCCTAACTGTTACTTTGAATAAGTGGCAGCAGGAAAACCATGTTTGTAGTTTTAATCTGTTTTTACAAATGTTTGTCTTTTAGTTCTTCGGAGGCCGATTCATGGTGCAGCCTCAGGTGAAGCCAGTGACAGTGAGGAGGAGCTGGCTGCCTTCTGCCCAACAGTAAGCTTGTTAAATTACCAAAATCGCTCAATATTTCAAGCATGAATCAGTTACTAAATCTGTTATCATTGCTTGGGAACATGGTTACTTGACTGGTGTCTTTGAACACATTGATTTTCTGTCCAATTACATTTATTAGGTTATCTTAAAATGCTGTAACAAATACTGCAGCTGTTCAGCCTACAGTGTCAAAATCTGTCCACATTTTTCCATGAGAAAACAGGTTAATGGGGATTTAAGTCAAGTTGAATTTAGCACTCTCTCAATGTGAAAGTGAAAATATTCACATAGTGCTCTCACTGCAGACCTGTTGCTTTGTATTTCTGTACAGGGTCATTTACAGTAACACAGCTGAGCAACTTCCTGCTGGGTTGAAGAACTTCACATGATATGATCTGCCTGTTTATTTTGGTCGTGTGAGTGTGTGGTGTGTGTGGGTAGAGTAAAGCCTGCTAAAGGTGTGAGAGCAAACTAGTAACAGTAGCAAAATAGAATTTGACTGACATCTAAAAAGAGATTTATTTTCTTCTTTCTCTTTGTTGACTATTTACTGTCTTTCCTAGTTTGATGATGCTGTTGTTGCGAAGGAACTCGCTCTAACTGACTCTGAGCACTCTGACGCTGAGGTTTCCTACACTGAAAATGGAACATTTAACCTATCGCGTGGCCAGACGCCACTCACAGAGGGCTCCGAGGGTAAGTTTGCAGGTTTCACAGATATTTCTTTGCTGTATTTTCAGTTGTGATCTTGTTTCTCACAGTGTGACTGTCTGTGCTTTGGTCAGATCTTGACAGACACAGTGACGCTGAAGAATCCTTTGCTCAAGACCTCCCTGACTTCCCTTCGATAAACCCTGATGCCACTCTGATGGATGATGATGACGACACAAGCATAGGTCTACCTAGCCTGGGTCAATCTGGGCTAGCTAGTCATCGGGCATCAGTACTGGATGCTCATCTGGACTCAGACCAGGACGATCTGGATGCAGAACTGTCCCTTAGCGGCCTGCCGCCTGCTTCTGATTTTTCTGGAGACCTTGCAGGAGTCATCGCCAGTAACATGATTCAAGCGGCGCTGGCTGGTGCATTGCAACCTCGGCGTCCTGCCCAGCGCAGAGACGGCCCTCCCAGGGCCGGGGCTCACCGGAGCTATCGCAAGCAGTCCAGCTCTGAGCTGGACACTGACTTGGATGTGGAGGACTTTGAAATGCTTGATCAGTCTGAACTGAACCAGATGGATCCTCTTGGAGGAGGAGGGGGCAGTAGACGGGGAGAGAGCCAGGGGTCTAACTTTTTGTCTAGCTTTCTGGGTAAACCACAGTGAGGTGTGCATGTGTGCATATGTGTGGTTATGTGTCTGAGACAGAGAAAGAGAGAGTGTGTGTGTGTGTGTGTTTACATGTTGGCGAGCTATGAGTGTGAATAGTGGAAGTTGATTTAGGTTCCAGCAGCCCTGCTTCCGATTGGCTTCAGTTGATCACTGTGAAGTTCTTCATTTTTTCTATCTTTTCAGAATCTTTTTTTCTAGGACTTTGAAACTTGATCATCCAGAAACCTTTTACTTTGTAAGCTGAGCAATAGGAAGTGCATCAACACAAGTACGACATTCATACATCAAGGAAACCAGCATAATTGAGCCTCAATAGATTCTTGTAATTTTGTGCACCCGTAAATTACAAGGGTTCTTGTTAGATAAAAACAGCAGTGCCCATACAATCTTGTCTACCTGGAAGTCTACACATACAGGGCTATACAACATGGGACCAAATATGACATTCCTGTTGGTGGAGCTGAGCCATGTTGCTTTGAAAATGAGATCATGAAACGGAACTGAGAATTATTTTTACATCACAACATTTAAAACAGCAGTTCATGTTACTGTTATTCCCTCTGCTGTCCTTTCAATAACATGGGTTATGATCTGTTAGAAGATGACTTATTTAAAGTTACAGGTTTACAGAAAGCTGCTGTGGGTTTGGACAGCCTCCTATGATAGAGATGAATCATATTTGGATAGGGATTTCATTAGCTGCTCTTTGGTAGCTGTTGTGTGGGAGTTTTGTTTCAATCAAAGAATGTCACATTACAGTCTTAAGTTACCGGACTCGGAGGAGAAATACATGATGTTATGTTTGTTTATTGTTGTATTTATTGACTTGTGCCCCTAGGTGAGGTTTGCATCTTTTTCTGTGTGAACAACCTTAGATTGTTTTTCATTTTCCTGCCCTTTAACTACAAATAAAAAGCATAATATGTCTGTTCTTAAACATTGGAGTAGTCCACAGCTTTTAGTGTTTAATTTATTTTCTTTTTCCAGAAATAATGGTGAAACATTTTGTTTTGTCTTTTACCATCTCTGTATTACATATAGTTAATGGCCATGCTGACCTTTTTAAGTGAAAATGAATCATTTCTGGATTGTTTTGCTATTATGATGGGGACTTACGTTTACAAACAAATTGGGTAAAGATAGTTCTCCTTGTATCCTATGTTAAAGGGTTGTATATGTAAAGGTTTAGTGGCTTTTGTGTGCAGGTCAGTCTGACCTTTTGATGGACAAACCATGTCAATATGTGAAACCCAACAGTGGAAATGGAACTTAGAACTTCTAAAAGCCACAGATAACATTTGTCAAGATGGCCATATCAAGAAGTCCAAAATGCTGGTGGTTTAAATACGGAAAACACATGGCTTAAATGTGTGACTCTTAGAGAAACCCATAGCTTCACAGATTTAACGCCGAAAAAAAAAAACAGCTGGATCCTCATTTATAAAGATGAAGTACAAAAAAAAGTGCACTGATAGGAAATTGCTGGGATTTGGAAGATTTGCGACGATGCTTATAGCTTCACCATGAGGGGCCAGTTTCTCTCTATGAGTGATCTGTAGTCAGTTTGACAATGTCATGTGCATAGTTGTGTATTTCCCTCTGTATCTGGTTTTGCTATGTTTTGATGTGTAAATCATAATGAATAAAATGTTTGCAATTAAATCTATTTTGTAGTTTCATTTGAAAGATGTAAAATGAATCTCTGATGACAGATTAGGTTCTCAAGACAATTCTTAAAACACAGACGACTGACAGACAAATATAAAGCAAGATTTCTGTTAAAACTTCACAACTTATAAACAGCATTGTTTTTAAAACTCCTATGATAAGTACGATACAGTAGTTTTGCTGCTCATTGTGGTAATAGAACATTTAATTTACTACCTTGTCAGTCCATCTATCCTGAACCCTTCCTGCCATAATGGGGTATTTGATTTTTGTTTTTTATTTCTTTATCGCGAAGTTGACGGGGCGATAACCCCCGTCTCTCAACCTTCTCTAAACCAACCAAAATGACAGAGCTCTCACTCTGCTCTTCTTTTCGGATACCTCATTCTGCTCCAAATCCAACTTGCAGATAAGGTTAGAGATTGCAACTGGTATGAGGCATCTTCAAATATAGACGATCTTTTAGTGACGCATATTTCGCGCGAAGCTTTGTTTGGCACGTTAGATTGAAAGAGACGAGGGTAGAAATGAGTAAAAAAGATAACGGTAAGAGTACGTCAGGAGGCTTTGTTTTCACTGAATTGAGTTATTTAGCGTGTCTGACTGTTTGTGTGACCAGCGACGTCCATTTGATTTCATAGATTACATGTTAGAAAGTTAAGATAACAAGCTGTCCGTCCACGTTAGCTTACGTTATATAGCACAGGTACACAACAAACATGATGATAGGCTAAGCTGACTTCAAGTTTGTCAACCCTTTTTTATGTCAGGTTACTCTGAATGCGTCAACGTCGAATGATAAATGTTTGATTATGCAATGTCTGTGGAAAGTTTTAACGTATTCTTTAACCAGTAATAGAAGTTTCCTAAAACTACAAAGACGTAATGTCAAAGTTCAAATACGATGACGTAATAACGTTTAACTCAAGCAGTAGTTGGGCTTAGAGCCATTAAAGAACTTGATTCGTAGACACGAATGAGTAGGGGGACATTTAGCCGTCATTTCTAGCTATTCTTGATGTTGATCAAATACAATCTTTAATCTTTAAGCTGCTGTCATCCACAGGCTCCACTCTCATCCTGTCTTATCTGAATGAGAAGAACCGTCCTTACAGTGCCCAGGATGTCTTCTGTAATTTACAAAAGCAGCATGGGTTGGGAAAAACGGTGAGATGAACACTTAATGCAATATACAGATTTAGTGTTTCCTACTTTAAATCACTTATTGCACATTTGTAAATTCACTAGGCAGTGGTCAAGGCCATGGAGCTGCTGGCTTTGGAGGGCAAGATAAAGGAAAAAGCCTATGGCAAGCAAAAGATCTATTTTGCAGATCAGGTTCGTTTTTTTTTTTTTCTTCTTCTTTCATTTTTAAATGCTACGCTGCTGAAGAAAGACAGCTCTAAGCGTGACCTGTTATTCATGAATATATGCCGATCTCTCCCGCAGTCTCAGTTCAAAGACGTGAACGATGCAGACCTGAAGGCCATGGACAGGCAGATCTCAGAGCTCAGTGCAGAGGTGCAGTCTCTCACCCAGACCTGCAGACAGCTAGACGCAGGTGGAGTTCACCACTGATCTGTGCAAGTTTACATCGCAGCAAGATATTTCAGTTTTGCACCTTTGTAGGCCACTTGATGTCATACTATTTAAAAAAAAAAAAAAAGAAGATTTCACTAGAATGAAAGGGCGCTATTTTTCAGAGCTGAAGGAGCTCAACAGCTCCCTGACAACTAAGGAAATTCAGTCAGAGATCCAAGAGCTGAAAGCGGAGTGTTCTGGGTACAGAGGACGTCTGGAGAAGATTAAGTCCGCCACAAATCATGTCACACCAGAAGAGAAAGAGAAGGTTGGGAATGCATGCTTTCCGATGTCATTAAAGCATCTAATTAACCTATATTATGACTGTTTACGTTGTGTTTTCTTCTATACAGTATAGTAGTACATATTTTATTTTAAATTGCAGGTTTGCAAAGAGCGGAACGTTTATGTGAAAGAGTGGAAAAAGAGGAAGAGAATGGTAACGTATAAGGAGCTCAAACTACATCAGTAATCACTGCTTCGATTACATTTTAATGTTCCACCTATTCTAACATGAGATTTTTCTTTCGTGTCCCGGTCTAAACATTTTATTAACTGTCAGTCAAACAAAATCTGAACGTGAAAGACGTCAATTTTGCCAATGTGAAATCGGTGGAGCTTTTAGCTGGTTATGAAACAGACTTAAGTTAACTGTACTTGTGTCTATTCTTAGTGATCGTTTTGACTATGAAAGAAAGATGTAATTATCTGTCAGAAAACATTTACAGGATGTGATGTGGTATTTACAGGACAAGATATTTAAAAAAAAAAAAAAAAAAAGCAGCAACATTTGTCCAAATGGATCACCAACATCGACATATAGTTCTTCACCTTAAATCATTCCATAGACAGTACTCCAGTTACTCTCAGGCTTAAATGTTTATATTAAGGGTAAATATATTTGAATGAACAGCAACGATAATTATGAAATGTTTAATTGAGATTCCAGTATTATGCAGAAATTCTGAGTGCTAGTATTACAAACAATAAATGAAGAGAAGTTCTGAAAACAGGACTTGCATCAGTTATTTGTCATCATAAATCAAAAATGAATCCCTAATCTGTTCTGCTTTGCTTCTATCAGGCGTCGGACATGATGAACCAAATTTTGGAAGGGTACCCCAAGAGCAAGAAGGAGTTTCTGGTGACGGCAGCTCCATTTCCTTAAACATAACTTCCTGCCTCTTCCACCTTTAGTGTACTGCTTGTGTTTTTTTAATCTGCAGTACTGATGCGTACCTCTCCTTTTTCGCCCTGACAGGATGAAGTTGGAGTGGAGACTGATGAGGACTGTAAGGTGGTTGTCCCCAGCACTTGAAAGAATCTGAAAAATGTCTGTTCATCCACTTCCTCAATGTAAGCCTGTACAGTGCTAAGATACTTAAGCAGTCTGAGTGACAACATCGTCTTTATTTAAAGCGTTTCTTTTGAAAACGTACATCTTTCATAAAAGGTGAATGGAGTTTGTTTTTTTACTGCTAGTATGTTGTAAAAAATGTAAAAAGAATGACAAGTTGTCCATCTTCCTGTTTAGTTTGTTTACCAACTTTTGCACTGTTTCTTCATTCAGTCTTGCTGCCGAGTTATTAAATGCTATGATTGTAACGTTTGACAATGAAATGCTCAACGTATTTCTTTAACAAAAAAAAACAAAAACGTTTTTAACCATCTTACAACATAAAGGAGATTTAACTGGTTCATAAGCTGCAGGTTTGGGCTCCACTGCTGAGCTGTAGGATTTTCCCACTGCCTTTTCATTTGACTTTGGACAAATGCTCGACATATTTCTTTTTTTCTTTTCTTTTTTTAGAATCGTGGGTGTCATACTGGAGATGGTGATATACAGTAGATGGCAACTATACATGAACTATCAAAATCAAACACTGTAAGCAACAAGCCAGGGACTAAAAACAAGATTTCCTTTTGATGGAAACGAGTGTAAAGCCGCTCTCGGTTATCTAAATGACTTTTAACTTTACACACTCAAATACAAAGTCCAAGCCATGACAAAAAGTAGCTTTCATATGTATTTTCAAAATGTACATATAAAAACCCAATTAAGTCCAGCAGATGCACATCTCTGTCCACGGCACACCCTTGGTTATAAGGAACTGGTAACTGGTTGAGGGTACAGTGAAAGAACATTCACACTGATGCACAGTTTGGAATGAACTGATACTGATTAGAAGAGCCAACGTTGACCAAAGTAAATAGCATTTTCCACATTTGCATTCAAATGAACAACCTTGCCCTAGCCCAGGTTGTGTTGGTTATTTTAAACCTGAACTTAATGCTTCTAGGATTTCAGGTTCTAAATTATCCATGAATTGGAAACAAGTCTCATTCTTAAATCTCATTAGAGGTGATGTATGGCAGGGAAACTACAGTGGAAACCTGAGTTCAGTAAGAGAGAGTAGACAATCTTATTGTTTAACTCATTCAACATATGAAAAATAAAACAATGTCAAAAACAGCGATTTCCCTTTAAAACTCCTTCAACACAAATGTTCATCTCCTCCCGTAGCGTGGGTTGCGGTTATCCAGTCGCAGCCATGGAGTTACTGATGAGATAAAGTGAGTGTAAATACTGTGGTTCTGTGTGATGCTGATTGGAGTTTTTACTCCACCCTGAGAGGCAAGAGCAAGCCCAAAGTCAATATGTGGGAGTTCAGCCCAGAGGTTCACTCAATACAGCTGACAGTTGAGCTGTCGGAGCACACCAACGACAAACTCTCTCAGCGTCTAGAGAAGAACAGAAGGAGGACACAAACTTTTATCATCTCGATATTAACAAAGCCGAACAGGTTGTTTTGATGGCGCCTGACCTGATGTCCACAAAGTGTTTAGAAATATCTGGTAGTACCTGCGGCTTGCAGTGCTCCTCGATCCAGCTGAACACACAGGCGGAGAGTTCTTGGAAGCTGCTCATCGAGACAGAACGACTAAACGACTGAAACAGGGAGTCCATGATGCTCTGAAAGATGTTGAACTTGACTTGGTCAGACACCTGATCCTCTCCTTGCTGTGGGTTGTTCTGGTGGGCCTTCACTATGTGCTCATAGTTTCTGAAATCATAAAAAAAGAAAAGAAATGAATGTCCACAGCCCCATTCGCTTGAGCCGCGTTTCCACCAGGCGGTCAGGTTTGGGTCAGTACGGTTTGGTACGGCTAACCCTGATCTTGCTTGCGTTTCCACAGCCAACTGTATCGATACAGATCACTAAATCAAGAGTGTGCGCAACATGGTGTCGACAGCCAATAAATTCAAAAAAGAAGAATGTGACAGAGTAAACATAGACCATCAATGACTCCTAGGAAGGTCTGAATCTCTGAGGCTGTCCATGAGGTGGTGCTATGTGCTGAACATAGTCACAAAAAACAGCCTGGAAATGACTCTAAATGCACAGCATATTTAAACACAGTTATGAACGCTCAGTGATTCTTTCGACCAATCAGTGTGTCTAGCTCCAACTTTTAGTGTTGATCGGTATGGTTGGCACTCCAACAGAAGGGTACCAAGAATGTAGGATTGTACAGATCAGTTTTTCTGGTACCCTTCTCAACTTTTGACAGTGGAAACACCAATCAGTGTGTACCGAACTGAACTAGACCGCTTTGTGGACACGGCTTTATATTCCTGTTTCTAAACTCCTAATGGGTTCGCCTGTTTCACAAAGATTGTAGTATAGTTGCAAAGACAGAAAACAATACTTCATGCTGTTTATAGAGCTTTACTATCAAGCCCCTTTTGAGTTTTAGATCTGATAGAACAGTACATTCTCTGTTTGTCAAAGACTTGCTTATCAAATCCATCCCGTTATCTGCCATGTGCACACCAAGGAGGAAGGTCTTAAGTTCGTAAAACCAAATGGGGAATAAATGAAGTGGGTGAATCACTGTCTCACGTTTTCATGATCTTCAGCGCCATCACTTCTTTCCTTAGCAAAGTTACTTCCTCCTCTTGCTTCTTCTTTTCTTTATGAAGAAAATGAATGTAGTCGATTGCTGCAAAAGGAAAAAAGAAAGGCATCGGTCACGGGAGTTTCCTTTTTTCCCAGAGTGTGGTCTCCCTCCTCAACCACCTCCCTCCTACATGTTAAACACTGATAATTATTCCTTTAAGCCTTGTAAAGAAATCCATGCAAGGGCAGTTTTGTGTGTTCAACATGATACCATCCTTCTTTCACCTGAGGGCAGGTAACATGTGAGCAGGGGAGATTGGATGTAATGTATGTGTTTGAGGGGGCAGAGAGCATGATGAAGGTTTTTGTTACTTAACTTAAGTAAACTAACGGTTGTTTTTTTTTTACTCCCATTTTCAACCAATTAAGAACCAATTCAGAATGTATTGGAAAGCTTTGAGGTAATAATACCAATGTTGAAAAAACCGCCCTTTACTTACTATCTTTCTCCGACAGAGGTTTTAAAATGTCAAACTATGAATTGTCTAGAGATGCATTTCCATGGTCCCCTCTTGACTGTTTATCGAACACCGTCACATCTTACTTTTCTGCAGTACAGTAGCCTTGCTGATCTTCTGTGCTCCCACGGCAAATTCAGACTGCTGCTGGCAGGTAGGCACTATGGACTGGAGGTCTTCATAGCCTTTCTACAGGTCAGAGGAAAAAAGTCATTGATTAAGAGTCAATAACGTTCACAAAATCGCAGACACCTGTGGTCTACTGAAGCGTACCTTGATAGCATCCCTGCGCTTCTGCTCGGCCTGTGTGTGCGCTTGCCTCCGTCGATCTTTATACGAGTCCTTATACGACGACTCCTGTCTGTAGTCACTGTCTTCATCATCTATTCAAAAATACACAAACACTTAGATAATATGTAACGTCTGAATAAATAAAAGTATATTTATCGCAGCGAGTTCATACAAAGTAAACAAGGCAGACATTCACACCACAAGCTAAATGTAGCATGAACTCTGTCTTCACATTTCAAACAGAATACCTGTGTTTGGTACTGAAGAGGCACTCGTGGAGCCGATGCTGTTGGCCCTGGACACCACTGTCCCCTTCCTGGCAGTTTCAGCAAAGAAACCTGCAGAGCAAGACGGCAGACATTTCAAAACTACATTCGCATTCTAATCTTAAGAGACCGAAAACGTAAAGTTACCATCACACGAGACTAATTCATGATCAAATGACAAACAGCTGGAAATAAACTGACAAGATACTCACTATGGTCAAAGCCACTGTCGCTGAAAGCACCGTCCGTCTGCCAAGCCATCACCAAGTAACACAAGATGGAGAAAAAAAAGAAGAGAAAATAGACTTCAGAGCTGGAATAATGACAGGGAAATTGTGCTGCCTAAAATACACTGACAATTGACCAATAGCGAGTGTGCCTGATTGACAGTCGGAGCCCCCACTGAGCAATGCCCTGAATAGTCCTATTCTAATGTGCACGAGGGTGAAGGGCCGCAACAAATAATCACACATTTGCAGTGTTTTTATATAGGACACAACTGCACAAAGGGGACTTTGATTTGTGGTTTCCAGAGTTTCATATTTACTTTGATAGGCTAGGACCTGCATGGCTACATCTACATCAATCACTGCCTCGTAAATCTAGGAGTTTGATATGTTTAGAATAGAATAGAATTACTTTATTGATCCCAAACTGGGAAATTGTGGCGTTACAGCAGCAGGTTATCCAAACACACAATATGAGTAAAAAAAAAAAAAATCAATGTTAGCAAATCTAAACACAATATAATATTAACTACAAAGTAAATAAGTACTAAAAATATCAAAAATAAGAATGTGAATATATACAACCAGGATTTAACTAAGCATTACTAGTCTTAAATAGGAAGATTAAATATGAAAGATTTGATGTAAATGTGCAAAAACAGAGTCGTAGATGGTTGTAAATTAAATATGAAAGACTGAATGTAAATGTGCAAAAACAGAGTTGTAAATGGTTGTAAATTAAATATGAAAGACTGAATGTAAATGTGCAAAAACAGAGTTGTAAATGGTTGTAAATTAAATATTAAAGATTAAATGTAAATGTGCAAAAACAGAGTCGTAAATGGACAGTATTGACATAAGTTAAAGTGCATGAGTGTAGACATATTATAAGCAGAAACTAAACAATATAACGGCGAGTAGACAGACAAATGAAGTGAACATGAACATGCAGAACAACTTAAAGCATGAGTCCCTGTTATCACGACATGAGAAACAAAAATTCAAAGAGAAAATACAAACTTGTTTTCACTCCTGCTCTTCCATATCACGTCTATAAAATAATAATAATAAAAAAAGCGTCCTTTGGAAAGCTCCTTTCAAAGGGGAAAGTGGACCAAGTCATTTCCTGGTGACACAATTTACAATTTTGCAATGTCCACTGTTTGAGTTTGAGTATCAAAGTAATGACTAATGTTTATTTTGATGGCAATAACTCTGCAAGTTTACAAAGTGTAGATTAACTGCATTGTTCTGGCAAGCCTCTGCAGTAAATCTACACTTTACTTTCACATAAATGTTTCAAATAACGACGTAGGGAATGCATTAACAAAAAAAGGTTTTGTAAGGTAGCTTTGCACATCTATTTTGGGCACACGCGATTTCTAAAACGTGAAATCTCGAGTGG